ACTTTGCACAAGCCTCTGATAGGATCCCTCTGACTTCTGAATGGGGTTCTTGAAACACAACAGCATTTATCATTTGCATTTATTATATTTACTCTGTTTATATCCTGCCTTTTTTCCTGCCAGGAATTCAAAGTGGCCTGCATATTTCTTCTCCTTTCCATTTTATCCTCCCAACAGCAGCCCCATGAGGTAGGTTAAGCTGCGAATCAGTGAGTTGCCCAAAGCTTCATGGCTGAGTTGGGACTACATCCCAGTCCTCTTGAATCCCACTTCAGCAATAGCTGCTACCCCACACTGACTCATTTCAGGGCTGGCTGGGGAATGCCAGGGGTTATAGAACTTCTTTCTAAGAGAGCACCTTAAGGGCTCATTTCAGATTTGCCAGCCAACAATGGCTTACTTAAGCCTTTAGGGCCTTCAGGCCATGTTCCCCTGATCTTGATTCTCCTGACTGATCCAGCCATCTAGAATCTGCTCTTTGAATGCCTACATTTTGGACTGCTTGCCAGTTGCGCTGACCAGGGCCACACTCCTGCAGCTCTCCTTCATGCCTGGTAGTGCCATGCTCTTGATCCTTGCTTGTTTCCTGGCTATTCCCATTTTGAACTGCCCTCTTGCAGTACTGGTACAGTCTTTTGCCGGTCTGCCGACTTGTTAATTGGATTTTTCCCATAGTCAGCCCCAGGGCTGAGCCTGACGAATCACAGCGGGACATTTAGTGATGTAGCAGCCACAAAGACTCATTAGCTGGAGCAATGAGGAAGATGGAGCAACTCCATCCCCTTGAAGGTTATTATGGGCATCCTTGAGCAGGCACAGCCCTATGAGAGCTGCAATTACATCATGTGGCAGGTCTGAGAGAATTACAGGAGAGTCACTCATAGAGCTGGTCCTGGTACTTGTCCTGGTCCAGGCCAGGCCCAGGCCCAGGGCAGCAGTAGTGTAGCTGTGCAACTGCAGGTGCTGCTCTGACCAGTCTCTGCAAACTGAAAGAATTGTTTGCATCTTCCAATAACCTCCTTTTAAATTTTTATTATTCCATTAGGAGGAGAAGGGAGAAGTGAGTCTGAGCAAACCAAGTAAGCCAACTCAGCTCAGCAAAGTTTGTGTCTGTTGTGGGCAGGTATGCTTGATGGAGGTGTTGGCTCTCCTTACTGGAGGAAACCAGAGGGCCAAAGTTTCTTTAAATGTTTTTTTTTTCTTGCTGCTGCTTCTGCATGCAGTTTTCTTTTGTTTTCAGGTTGGTTTTAATAAAGAAGTATGATTTCCCCCTAGCTAGGCAGGGGTAGTTCGGTGTGCTGTCAGGTGTATGTGTTAGCTTAGGGAACAGGAAAATATTTCGTAGAGCTTTGGGGCAGTATAGAAATGAATCTATAAAGTATTTGCTGGCTGAAACTCCTATGCCCCTTGACTCAGTATGGTCCCCTGTCTCTGGAAGCCAGCCCACTGCCCAGCCAGCCACAGTGGCCACTAGCCACCACTGCCTTCAAACAAAGCATGACCCTCAAAGGGAGTGCTCTCCTCCATACAGGAGGACACATGGTCTGCCTACCAAGGCCTCACACAGGAAAACCAACACAGGAATTGTTGTGACGTGGGTCCCTGACTAGTTACTCTGCAAAGCTGCAGGAGATCAGTGGGAGAGGAGAGGATGTGTCGATCCAAGACAAAGTGCAGCCACCAGCCTTGAAGCAGTGTGCGGCACTCCCAAAAATAAACCCTGGAATCCTGTGGCAGAGCAAAACTGTTGGATGATGCACTCCATAGGGTGGCAGACGTCCTCGGCCTGTTTCTGCTTCCTAGAACCCCTCAAGAGAGCTTTTTTACGCTGGGGGTTTCTTGCTTGCTTCCTTCATGTTGCCAATTCCTTTCTGGGCAGAGGCTTTCGGGGGCTGCCATAGCCCCCAGTTCCTGCAGCAAAGTCAGTGGAGGGCATGAATCTGACCATGACGAGCATGAAACGGGACACCTTGAGACAGGCCTGGGAGTACAAAGCCTCTTCTGTTCTAAGGCAGCATCTCATGCCATGGCCTCAGGTCCATTAATAAGGCCTTTGTGGAGCTGTCTGCTTCTGGCTCCAGAGGGACACAAGGCCTGGTCAGCAGGGGCTGCTTCACAAAGAGGAGGCCAAGTGAGCGCTTGGGGTGGCAGGCCTGGGAACAGGGCTGTGGGCCAGAGAGAAGCCTGCAAAATATTGGAAGGCAGCTTGCCCACCAACTACCCATCTCCCCCTGCCATGCGTAGTGTGGGGCGTGGGTGGGGCTGCTCAGTTGCCCATTCTCAGTTAAAATGGCATGGTGGTAAGACTAATGAGACCTTATATAAACTCATGCCATGGAACACACCCCAGCATCATCTGCAATGCACAGGATGTCCCGATTCCTGAGGGTTCCCAAATGGACAAATCATTTCCCTTAACAGAGGGAGCTTGAACATCCATTATCTGCTGTATAGCAGACTTTTCTGCTTCGCTTCCCTCCAGATGTGTTAAAGTGTGACTCCCATCATTCTCGGCACACACAGAGAGGCACTAGGTTGGGGAAGTCTGTTCTAGATGCACGTTCCAGTGGGCCACTTCCTCTTTGCTTTTGGACTGGGCACCAGACTGGAGAACTCTGAGTTAAAGAATGTGACTGCCAAACAGGCTTCAGCCTGGGTCTCCTTTCAGAAAAGTATTTTAACACATCAGCTGATCCAGCCAACCCCCAACGTTCTCTCTGTGGCCCAGCTGTGCTACTGAAGCTTCAGTTGAAAGCAAACCCTCAACTTTCCAGGATAGGATTTTTCCCCCTATCTTTAAAGAACTGCTGGAGTGGAAAGCCAATCAGGGGATTCAAAGAGACATTTCATTTATATCTTTCTTAATTAGCTTCTGAGCTGCCTGGTTCAGCTTGCTTGTGTGATAAATCAAAGATCTGTCATTTGGACACTTTTAGTAAGTAAAAGCAGCTGATGATTAGGGGAAAGATACCTTTAGGCAGTGCTTAATTCTTTAAAAGATGTTCAACCCTGCATGGAAGCAAAATTTCTGACCTGGATGCCCTTTCCCCACCTCCCTCTACATAGCTGAAGGCTGTCTGCTGTAATTCAGTAAGAAGGACATTCTGCATAGACACAGAGGCTTATCTGTTGTTTTTAATCTTCCATGAGCATATGCAGAGTGTCTTCACTACTGAGTAACCACTGCCCATGCCCATATAACTGGGATCTTTTATTTGTCATTCAGATTTATATGCTGCCTTCCACAAGGTATCAAAGTGGTGAACATAAATACAGTAGCATAAAAACAAAGGAAACTGTAACAATAAAATCAAAGTGCTACTTAATCGGGAATAACATTGCCCACACTCTGCTACCAACCATAGCTGACTGGATCACACTTCAGGGGAAGGCTCTGTAAAGAGATGAGTTTCGAGACTATCAAAGCTGTTGTGTAATACTGACGGGTGGGTGGGTGCTGCATGGCAAACCCTCAGAAGTGAGATCATGAAAGCTAAGATGATCCATGTAAGGCACAGGTCCACAAAGATGCGCCTGCAGGCATCTCCAGTGATACCTGCAAAAAGGGTTCTCAACAGGATGTTCATGGGTATATACAGAATGTATTACTGTTCCCCTTCTTTAATACACATACATGCATTTGTATGAAATTTTCCAACTGTTATATACAGGCTTCAGCAAAAGCAGTCCAAACATTAAAATATATCTTAGTTTGAAGTTGGTGCCTATAGGCCATCCATTCATATATGGAAATCACTATAAAGTCTTCAATCCAGTGTTTCATGGGAGGTGAATGTTTATCCTTCCAAGTTTGTAATATTAGTTTATTGACTATGAAAGGAGCACAGAGAATCCATTTCCCCCTATTTTTGTCCATTTCAATAAAATAAGTAAATAAATTATTTACTCTGTTAAATTGAGTAGTACATCAGTGAATATTAAAACCTGCTCCATAGCAGAAAAGGATCTGCATAAGAAATCCCTTCTGAAAAGAAGTAACTCCTGGACATTGCTAAAAGAAAAGCTTTAAAGATGCATTGGCTGTAGTGCACTGCCTGCAATTAGCTAAATAACCAATTCCTTATGAAAGAGATGTGGTGTTCCAGTAGAGTTCTTGCTGAATAGATGCAGTCTAAGACCCATAGACATAACAAGTAAATGCCAAAGCAGTGCTTCACTGTTTTGGCATTTTGTGCTGGTATCTACAGTGGTTTCTCAGATCCTCAAATGTGCCCAAGGGTCCCAAAAGCTGGGTAAGCCATCTGATCAAAGGACGCTGTTCCGAGACAGGGTTCAGTCCAAACACTTTTGATTTTAGAAATCAACCAGAACAAACAAGCCCACTCTTGATGTGTAGCTATTCTATGGAGTTTTCATCTTTGGGCCAATTTGAAGTCTGGGATGCTTTTAAGCCTCTATAGAAAGAAGTGTTTTATATACATTTCTGATCACTGGTCACGCGGAAGAGAAAGCAAAGAAGTAACACTGTAGTCAGAATGAGACTTGGGCCAGCATAGGTTTTACATCGGCAATTTTAGTCATCAAACCCTGTGCTCCCCCTCCACCCCCACTGCCAGAAGCAAGAACTACCCTAAGACTCGACGGACTGTCAATTCTGCTCTTTTTGTCATTATTGCACCTTGGTTCTGGGGCAAAGGGGAGGTCCCTATTTGGTGGCAATCTCACTACTGGGACATGCAATTGCAGGGAGTTGGTGGCCATTACAGATGAGCAAACTGCTGACTGCAGGGCTCATCCAAGTGCTCTCTCTCTCTCTCTTCTCCATCAAGAACACTCACAGTTTCTGCCTTTCTTTTGTTGCTTTGTCAGGGCACTTGGCATGGGAGATATTGGGCCTGGCATGCAACCCATTCCCTGGGCCCTCCTCCAAGCCTTCATGCACATATACCCAGGGATGGCTTAATCCTCCTGCATAAAGCCCATTGCAGCATACACAAAAATCTGCCAGAGTTTGTGGAGCCTGGAGAAGAGATCTGACTATGGAAGGCCAGAGATTGTCATCCTATGGAAAACGCTTCGGCTTGCAAACCACCTCAGTCCATCATGCCCTGAGGTTCTCGCCTGGCCGCAGGTACCTGCCTTCAAGTCCCTCCACCCGATTCTCTGTCACCAAGCTGAAAACTTCCAGTCTCAGTTTTCGTGCTGGCCCCAAGTTGTCCTCAGACAAGGTGGATTTTTCCTTGGCTGATGCCCTCAACACTGAATTCAAGGAGACCCGCACCAATGAGAAAGTAGAGATGATGGAGCTCAATGACCGCTTTGCCAGTTACATTGAGAAGGTCCGCTTCCTAGAGCAGCAGAACAAAGTTCTGGTGGCTGAGCTCAACCAAATACGAGACAAGGAACCCACCAAATTGGCTGATATCTACCAGGAGGAGATGAGGGAGCTACGCCATCAAGTAGACCAGCTGACCAACTCCAAGGCCCGGCTGGAGATTGAGAGAGACAACCTGCTGGAGGACCTCAACAGTCTCCGGCAAAAGTAAGAGAACTCCATTACTTACCTTCAAGTTTTGACAAGGCAGAGATGTAGCAGGGAAACAATGTATGGAAATTGACAGAATTGAGAGACAGATTTGGAAGAGGTCTTATTTAGGGCCTTGTCTTTATATATTGTGCACACTGAAGATCTTACTGATTACTAAGAGTTCCCCAGCAAGTCATATTGGAGAGGGGGAGTGTATATGTCTTCCCTTGGAGTATGCAGCTTGGCTTTGTTGTTTGAGTCATCTAGATGCAACTCCCCCTCTCCAATATGACCTGCTGGAGGACCTCAACAGTCTCCGGCAAAAGTAAGAGAACTCCATTACTTACCTTCAAGTTTTGACAAGGCAGAGATGTAGCAGGGAAACAATGTATGGAAATTGACAGAATTGAGAGACAGATTTGGAAGAGGTCTTATTTAGGGCCTTGTCTTTATATATTGTGCACACTGAAGATCTTACTGATTACTAAGAGTTCCCCAGCAAGTCATATTGGAGAGGGGGAGTGTATATGTCTTCCCTTGGAGTATGCAGCTTGGCTTTGTTGTTTGAGTCATCTAGATGCAAAATCTGAGACCCATGGATTACCGGTGTGTCCACCCCCAAAATCCAGTGTGAAGATCTCCAAGACCACCAGTATCTGCCAACAGCAATGAAGAGCTGTATAGGTGGATTGCTATGGGCACCTTATCCCAGAGCATCATAGACAGCAATGCTCAAAGGCCCTTATTTGCTTCTTAGGATGCCCTGGAAGGTTTAATGCAGGAACTGTAAAGCCTATTCCTAGAGCATTTGTTCCTTCTAGGTGGTCTCCTAAGTTAGTGTGGTCAGGAACTTCAGCCCCAGATCTCACCTTCACCTGTTGCCAATTGGATTACAGGGAATTGGATTACAGGGACACCTGCGTAAGAGGTAGCACAGTTAACTAATGCTATTGCATTTTAGCCTGGGTTTCTCCCTGCAGGAAGTATAACTAATTGCTCTGCCCAGATAATTTATCAGATCATTTATTGTATGTGTATTTAGGCAAGTAAATCTCTGTGTGTGAGAGAGGGAGAGGGGGAGGGGGAGGGGGAGGGGGAGGGGGAGGGGGATTCTTGTATGTGAGTGTGTGGATGGGTCTGTGTATGCATCTATGTGGCCCCTGCAACCCCAGCAAATACCCAATCTAGTCTAGACTGAAAAAGTTTTGCAGACCTGATCTAGGGAGTACCCTGTGAAGCATACTTGGAAGAAACCCCTCTATGCTAAAAAACTAAAATAAAAATAAAACACATAAAAGACAGTCAGGCAAGCAAACAAAACCTGTGTCAGCTGTGTATGTACACTGCCATCAGGCTGCCTTGGCGCTTCTCTGCACACTTGTGATCCCTCGCACGCACAAGCTGTCAGGGCCTTTTCACAACATCATTCTCCTCCAGGGCTCTCCTGAGTTTTCCAGTCTTTTTCATAGGTTTTATTTAGAACAAGGAAAATCTGATGTTAAATTTTAAATCACGACAAAGTGGAACAAAAGCAACATTAGGAAAACTGCCATGACAATCTGCCACACTACAGTTATACCGTATTGCCACCTTGTGGTTGGTTGATAGAATATATACACCTGGGTTGCAATTAATGTAAGTTCAAATAATGCAATGTTTGATTTATTGTGAATTGTGCAACAGTACCACATCACGTTTAATGCAAACCAAAATTCACTTAATGCCAGGCTAGCACACGTGTGGTTTAGGTTACCAGGTTACTGTTAGGGTTTCAGGCACTGCTACTTCAGTCGGCACTTATTTATCTTCACATGTGCATTTGCTGCTGCTTGCTGTAATATACATCAGTTTTCATTATTTGTTTCAAGTGTTTTAAGAAGTGCTCTTAACAAAATGGATAAAAGGAATATTCCTTCAAATAAAAACACTGCAAGTGTAAAAAGAAGAGGCTCATTATTATTTTAGGGCAAAATTTGATGCGATTGAACAACATGGATACAGTCATAGCAACTCTAAAAGAAAATGAGGTGTTGGAATGCCTGAATCTATGGTATGGGATATTATAAATCATGTAGGGGAAATAAAAGAAAAAGGTAAGGTTGGCTCAGCTTTTTGCAGTTTGCAAATATTTTCAAGGGTGATAGAAACAGAGCTGGAACCTTTGAGCTGGAGCTAATTACCATATAACTTTGAATAATGCAACTACTTCATGGGGTTCTTTATCTGCACTTATTGAGATCAAGCTGTGATGAAAAGGCAGAGAAATACTATCTCCTGGAAAAGGCGCCTTATGAAGGCTGTGATGTACAAAGCAATAGGTAAAACTTTCATTGGTTAAATCATGAAATCATTGACATATAACCAGGCCTGAGAAAAACCCTCTTTTCTAGAAATCAGCATGTGTGCATTCTTGAAATGTAGCTGACACTAACCAGGCACCAGTCCAGAGAAAGCTAGTTGGCACTTCACAGGTAACAGATAACACCAGCGCAAAGGGCAATTCACACTAGCCCACCCCATCCTCCTCCTCCTCTGTGTAATAGCACCCCATCCTCCCCTGTCCTTTGGAGCATCTTCTTTGGTATGCAAGTGGGAAAGATCATGGCATTGCAACGTTTTATCTCTGTAGCCTGTTAGAAAGTGTTAACTGTATTATGTGTAACCCTCTAATGATCAATGTATAAAAGGGCCAATGGAGGACTGCTCAGGTGTGCCATCTGGAATGATTAGTTGGTAGCCAAATCTTTGGTAATAAATCTTTTAAAAGAAAACCTTCCCCTGTTATGTATTTTGGGCATATGCACACCAGGGCATGGGCCTTTTGGTCAACAGTTGCATTTTTCCTCCACAACTAAAACGGGAAATGCAGCCTCTGTACAACAACACATTAAACCCCTCATGTAGAGAAGCCCTTGGGACCCTAGTAACGTGAGGGCAGAGAGCTGGCACATGTGCTTGGTAGCTTCATTGGCCAATAGGATGAAGGAAAGCGAGTGGCCCCCACCAACATTTCTTCAGACTAGGGCTAAAGGGGCAATGACAGTGGGATCCCTAATAGCTTAACAGATCCCTTGGGTTGAGGAAAGGACTCTTTTGCAGCTTGAGAAGGGGAAGGTACCAGCAGTTCCTCCCTGCATGACACCCACAAACAATCAGGTTGTCTTGACAACTGTTTAGAACCTACTTGTTTACCTGGCCTTCTCAAAGTCACCAGCTTGACTTAACACTGTGCTTTCATAATTATGCATTATTATTGTTATCATTATTACATTACATCATATCTCACCATTTTTCTCTTGTGAGGAATCCAAGGCAACTGGAAGTGCTTGCTTCTGGTGAGCTGAGGATTGCATGAGGCCCCAGTGCCACAAATTGCCCACCACTGCTCTGCCACACTCAAGTTTGTGAAACCCTGCAATATTTTGTATAGCTCCTTATGAATTCCTTCTGATTGCAAACTTGATGGCCTTTGCCATGAAATGGAGCTAGTCACCTACAACAGCCTGGGGATTACCCTAGATTTGAAGGTCTATGCATATATGCAGCAACAACAAAACTTTTGCAAAAAGAAAAGAAAAGAAAAGAAAAGAAAAGAAAAGAAAAGAAAAGAAAAGAGGAGGAAACATCCCCTCCATTTTTTATATGTTGCTGAAAAGTCTAGTGCATTCCTAAAGCCTTCCCACAGGAACTGAAGGTCAAAAACAGTTTGATGCATTCTAGACGGAGATATCCTTCCACATGCCCCCCATATCTCCCCTCCACACTGTATTGCTCAGCTTTTCCCCACCACCCCTTCCCTGCAAGCTTCCCCCCACCATGGTTGCCCTGTGGAGGGGCTTTGACCTTGGCATATTTTTCTTTGGTCCTGGTCCCTTGTGGAAGTGAAGAACTGATAATTCAATAAGGCTGCCTGACTCTTCCATCTCTTGCTCTTTCTCATTTAAGGTTACAGGATGAGATTAACCTGCGCCTTGAAGCTGAAAACAATTTGTCTTCCTACCGACAGGTGAGGTGGCAAGATGACAAATTCTATGTTTGAGTTATGGAAGAGGGATGCAAGAAATCTTTATAACTGGCTGGGGTGGTGATCTGGCTATAGCGCTTGTGGTCCCTACGTGAGGACCCTGAGCAAGTATAGGCTGGACAATTCATAACACATGCCAGAATTTTCTTTTACACAGCAAACATCTATGTTTTTCTTCCTCTCTGTTAAAGGAGCTGAACGGTGATTGCTTTCACCTGAATAAAGCAAGGCACTGTCCAGCAAGCCAGGGTGCACATCAGGAACTCTGGATCTCTGGCTGCTGGGTTGCTTCCACACTCATTGTTTAAGTCTAGAGCATTTTCACAGATCATTCTGCATCCAAATGATGTCATTGCTGTTCTGATATTATCCATGAACTTTCAGACTTGAATTGTGATGGGTGTTTTGTTAGCTTCAAAAAACCCCTGCAGCAGACTGAAACTTTCCAATTCTATTGTCCCTTAATTAGTGGCCTCCTTCTTGCTCCTTTCTTTTAAAGCAGTTAATGAGTTTCTTTCTCTTGCCTTTCTCTAGGATTCCTGATGTTCCTTCAGCCAATCAGTCCTATAGGGTAGGAATAGGAAAGGAATACTAATTACTAGTTTCCTCTTTGCAGTCAGAATTTTTTTTACCCTTTAAATAAATGAGGACCATTTTGTAACTGCAGTCATTAATAGAATTAAAACAAAAATAACGACACTTCTACTTGCAAAGGAGAGCCCAGTAAATCAGTCCCTAAAGAGGAACTATTTAACAGTTGTTTGGAAATACTGCAGCTTCCACAAATACAGAAAGCAATAAATAACCTTAAAAGAAAGGAACAAGGAGGAAGCTTCTAATTAATTGGACACACAGAGAGAAGTGAGACCTTTGCTGAATAGACCAAATTCCTGTGTAAATGTATAGTATAGTAAGGTGTGGCCATGGAACTAATATCAGTGGGTGAGGCTGCACCCCCTCATCTGCTTCCCAGCCACAGGACTCGGTGGGTCATCATCCTGGCTCCTGGGCTGGAGAGAAAGCTTTGCTGTACCTGGGATTTTCCATTTTCAGAAAACCCTACACCCAGTAAAGCCAAGCTAGATGAGTGAGTCCCCTTCGCTTCTTGCCCACCCAGCCTCCTTCTCCTGTGGGGAAAGTTGAACCAGCTGCATCCCTTTATCCTTCCTTCAGGTCAATGAAGCTGATTTTGAAGGGAGCTCAGTGGCTTCTGCCCACCCCACTACCTTCTGCTAGGCAGGACAGTCAAAGGAGGAAAGTCAAGCTGGACAAGTCGCCTTTGCAACTATGGGACAGGGAAAGCAGAATCCCCAACTGTTATCTCTGATCTGCATTTGGAGACAAGAGAGACAGTTCCTCTCCCTTCTGCCTCCTGTTCCTGGGGCGGACAGGAAATATAGAAGGGGAGAAGTGTGTTTCTCGAGGGTCCAGGTTTGTACTACATGATAGATTTCCCAAGGAGAAATAATGGTTTCTTTTACATTAACATTGGCCGTGTTTGCACATTGCATCAATCTACTCTGGCAATAAGTGGGTTGATTGTTCTGTGCCCATGGGAGGTTGTTAGACTCTTCTCTTCCTTCCCCCTTGATCCTCCTCTGACTATCTCAGGTGACATTATGGCAGGATAAATTCATCCCCACTGTAATTATGAGCTGTTTTTGGCTCACCCTCACCTTTTTCTCCTTCACTTTTTTCCATCAGAGGTTGTGATCTCTGCCATGAAAGCCCACTTTTGTGATCTCTGTTTTGACAACTGACAGTGCCTACAAATACTCGAGTGGCATCTTCCACAGAGCTGTCCATGGTTGGAAAACATTTTTTATTATTTTTTGAGGTGGAGACCCCATAGTGTACAATTCAGGCAGTCCCCGGGTTACAAGTGAGTTCTGTTCCTGAGAAAATGGAAAATCATCTATTTGTATGTAAGTTGGATCATGTATAGTTGGCCCTCCATATTCACAGGGGTTAGGAGTACAGGACCCAGTGAAAGTAGAAAAAACAAGTGTATCTCTGCCCTCCCACCCCACCCAAACTGCTTGCAGCAAGGAGATGTCAGAGAGATTTTCCCTTCCGAATGGGTCGGGCAAGAAGGCATGCTTTGGAGTCATCCCTATCTACCCTGTCACTTCATCTCTATCCATGGTGATGCTTTGGAGGCCCTCCCCTTTGCTTCATCCCCCTCTGTGGTGATGATAATTTACTGCAGTATATATTTTTAAAATTAATAGGCTTGTTCATAAGTATGAGTGGATCATAATTCAGATGTTTGTTACTCAGGGACTGCCCGTATTTGCACACATTTAAAAATATACTTTCCTTGTTTTGCAGGGGCACATTTACACTCACAGACAGGTCTGAAAACTGGCCTTTAATTGCATTAATGCATGTGTTCTTTTGAGAGAAAAAAAACATTGGGAGTCCTGTTTAAAAAAAAACATTTTAAGCTAGGCTACCAAAGTATCAGTTCCTTTTAAAAGTGGGTGGCTATATTTTATCATGTCCCCAAGCATTTAGAGTTCTGGAAACAGATGGAAAAGTAAGAGTATCCTTAGGAGAGTCAAGTCCAAGAAGAAAGGAAAGGAAAGGAAAGGAAAGGAAAGGAAAGGAAAGGAAAGGAAAGGGCAATGCCACCACCAAGAAATTTGCTAAGAAAGGCTGCCATTTGCAAGTGGCCAGGGCAAGACTGATAATAGGGGCAAGGGGGTATTTGCAGCTCCTGCCAGTTGGCTCACTAGTGTGCATGATGGGCCCAATTGCCCAGGTTTGGAAAAAATGATAGTCCATTGTGGGTACAACAAGCCCTATAACAAGCCAAGAGTTGTCAGGGTGGCTTGTTGCCCATGAACGTGGCTCCGTGTGGGAAATGTTCTAGGCTTGCATTATAGGACAACACACCATGGCTTGTCACTCACAATGGATTGCCATGTTGTGAGAAACCAGTGGCGGCATAGAAATGTTATAATAATAATAATAATAATAATAAATAATAATAATAATAAACATATTGTCTCTCATAAAATCTTGCTGCTTTTCATAGTTAACTTTTAAGCAGGCTTTGCTGCTTTATTTTAATTTCAAGCTTATGACTTAGTCTTATGGCTGAGCAAAATGTGAAAAGGCATACTTCAAATAACCACAGGAATGCATCTATGTTATGTAACTGGGGGAAATGCAATCTCATTGCCTAGGGCCCGTCTCCTCTGCCCCCAGTACACATCTGATGCTGCCTGCACTCCTGCAGTTTGATCATATGTGTCCTCAAGAGCCAGATGATTCCATAAGGGATGGTAATAAATATAGATCCCCATTCATAGAATTATACAGATAAAATATAACTATTCATGCAGTTAGCCAGGGAGTGAACACAAATATTCTTGATAAAGCTATATTGCTTTGCATTGTTGTTTGTAAGCTACTTGGAAATGTTTGATGGAAAGGTGGGACATAAATATTATAAATAAAGTAAGACATAGGTAACATCTTTTTCCAGAGGCATACAGGCATGAAGGATAGTTTGATTTAGAATATGTAATTAATACTGGGATTCGTTTTTTTACAGAGACTCTGGTCCTTAAAAAATTTACTGGCAAGCAAAAGTTCTGCAAGTACAGCTTTTATGTTTCATGGACCCTCCACATTAGGAAATAAACTACATGCTGAATTTCTGCTCTTCATATAACTGAGGTTCTACAGCAAAACAAACAAAACAAAAACAAAAATGTAGTCAGTCACTTCCAGAAACGCTTGAGTCTCTTGATTTTCATATTTTAAAAAATGTAGTAGACTGAGTATGGGGGCTTTTCTATACAAAGCATTTATTGTGCACTCATTTACAATAAATATTTTTTTTTACATTTTGTACTACCCAATAGTTAAAACTCTCTAGGCAGTTTACAGCAGTTAAATCCATAGAATACAGTATAAAAATGTAAACATTCATAAATTCAGTATGAAAATAATAACCAAATAAAACCAGGGCACAGTGCAAAGATTCCTTACGCATGGCTGTTTACTGGTTCTTTAGCTGATGTGACCTTCCAGTTTCCCTTCTATGTCTAAGCACTTTTGGTGAGTTCTTTAGAACAGGGCAAAGGCAGTATTTAATTCTAAAAGTGAAAGAAAGCGTGATGTTCTCTTGTGTATCCCACTGTATTACACCTCCACCTGGAAGTGATGTCCTGGAAAAGCAGGAAAGGAAACATAGCCAAAGTGTCTATCCCTCTGTCAAGACATCATCACTATCCATATGGGAGGGGAGGGGGGTTAGAAGACACAGATCACATGTCATGATGAGGCCAAAGCAGGCTGAAAGGCACTCATTTTCCCTCTCATATTGCAGTTGCTCTGTTTCTACAGGATGTCGATGATGCTGCATTAGCCCGAATAGACCTGGAACGCAAAGTCGAATCACTGCAGGAGGAGATCAACTTCCTAAAAAAGGTCCATGATGAGGTACAGAATCCATTGCAAAAGAGAGGACTTTCTGCAAGTGCTGGATGAATGCACGTTGACTCTGCTGTTCCCTCCTCTTGCGGGGGAGGCAAAGGATGAGAGAAAGCTCACCTGTCAAGAAGCTGACTAGAAGACTAGCAGGCAGTCCATGGGGCTGTCTGGGGTGGCGATCCAGTCCCCAGAGCAATGATGGTTACCCGGTCCTACTAAGGAACCAACTCCTCCCCTAAATGTCTGGTTATAATTGTGCGATGTGATTCATTGGACTCACCCTCAACTTAGGGCCGCTCTTGTAGCCTTATAATATCCCTGCAATGTATATGAAACTAATGATCTTTTCTTAGTTGGCTTGGGTGGGCTCTCTCTTGAAACACATCTTACAGAGTACCTTAAATAAAGACGTAAAGTAAGGATGCATCCGGGAAAGTACAGTTCTTCCTTCTTCTGAATGTTCAACTGCCTGTTACTTGAGCATCCTCTGAGATCCACTCCTGACATTTCAGCAGCCAATGAGGGGACAAGATGTCTCTAAAAAGAACCTTTGACACTAGAAGGGTGTGGAGCAAAACGCTTGTGTTGCACACAGAAGGGAGATGACTTTAGCTTTGCATTCATTGTTGTCCAGGGAGCTGTGAGTTTGACAGGAAAACATTCAGTCATGCTGCCGCCACTGGCATCCTCCCTGCTGTCTGTCCTGATATTTATGTGAACTAGGTCTGCTGAGTTTCTGTTCTTGGACAGAGAGAGGTCTTCAGCCCGATTTTGGGAGCCCTGCTCTTATGCCTCTTCTGTCCCCTCAGGAGTTGCGGGAGCTGCAGCAGCAGCTGCAGCAGCAGCAAGTCCACATCGAAATGGACCTGGCCAAGCCAGACTTGACATCTGCCCTGCGCGAGATTCGCATCCAGTACGAGTCTATGGCCTCAAACAACATGCAGGAGACTGAGGAATGGTACAAGTCTAAGGTACATTGCCAGCACGAGGGGTGCCGGATAGATAAGGGAATGCAAGAAGACTGCAGAATCCCCATCCAGTGCAGCCTGGCTGATATTAGACTGAATGAGACTGCCAGTTAAACAGGGCCAGCTCTGGAGAGATACAGGGCAGCGAAGGACACCCTGCACTGCAGCTGCAGAGTACAGTGGCCACTGGCAGCCCTCATTTCAATAATGGAAGCTCCAGCTGTGCATCACTCTGGTCTTCTCCTTTGCTGTGTGCAGGATTCCTTTAGGAGGAGGTGAGGGAGTGCCCCACTCCCCACTCAGCCAGCAGGAACTTGGGGAGGGTGTACGGCTGTTTGATCATGATCCTGAGGATCAGGACAGGACTGTACATTTCTGAGGCTCAGGTGCTCCTGGCCAGTTACATCTGACAGGACAGCAACCCCCACCCCCCCCACAAATACACAGACACACACACAATTTGCATTCTATACCCGTATTGTTTATAGCATGATCAGCATCTGGCCAGAGAGCAGCAGAACACTTATGATAACAAACACCTTTTCCATGTGCTACTTCCCATTTGGATGTTGACTTTGGTGGAGAAGCCAAAGACTCTCTTCAGGCATAATTGTAGGGTTGATATCCTTTATACACACAAACTTGGAGACTTCTGCAAAATCCTGTCCCTTGCCAAGCTTTTCTGGCAGGGTGGGAGGAGGAAAGAGGTGATCTCGCCTCCCTTTCCCCCTTTCAGTTCCTTTCTGGGCCTCTGAGCCCCTCTAGCTCACTTACCAGCCATTGGGCAGGGGCAGGCAATAGAGAGGCTACTAGATTCTGCAGATCTTTCCCCCTCTCTTCTCTGGCCTGTTGGACCTCTCTGAGGCCATCCAAAATCAATACTGTAATCTTGCAAAGCATCCAGGGCACTTCTTTCCTGTGACGTCTGCAAGGGGGTGGGAACAGATGCCTGATATTCCTCTCCCAAGATCATAGCAGGGGGAATGTGAAATATCCTTTGCTCCCTGAGACCTTTTGCAAGGACCATAGGATCCTGCCCGTAACATGTGACGGTTCAGACACAGTTGGCCATTGTGTAGTAGGGGAAGGATTTGAAGATCAAAATGGATAATTTCCAGACATGCTTAAACCCATCTGCCTCTTTTTTATATATAAGTTAGGCTCAACTTGTAAAGCCAAGAAGTTCTGTTTCATAGTTTGCAGACCTAACTGATGCAGCAGCACGAAATGTTGAAGCTTTGCGCCTAGCCAAGCAAGAAGCCAATGAGTACCGCCGGCAACTGCAGACCATCACCTGTGACTTGGAGTCCCTGAAAGGATCGGTAGGTGGAGTGCTTGGGGCTTCATTGCATGTCGCTTCTGTGGTCAGGATGTAACTGCAGTACGGTGGAGGGAAACTGGCCATTCCAATGGAACATATGGACCCCCCACTACTGGCGAAACCAACTGCCATTTGGCCTGGCCCTTCCCTTCCTACAGCTGCTCCCAGCAATGGCCATTCCACCTGGCTACAGCAGGGGGAGTGGCAAGACAGCGAGGGCTCTTCCAATGGCTGGGCCAGGACCATCTGCCATCAGCTCTTCCTCTTCCAAAACTATCACCTAAAGTCACCATTCTACCTGGTCATTAAATGCAATAGTAGAAAAGCGTGTTCTGGTACCGAAATTTGGAGGTTTCCCTTTCCCTTTTGTATGGCTTTTCTTAAGTTGCAAACCATTCATGCCATATTGTGTTCTGTATTCTAGCTTACACATAAGTAATCCTACAGAATTGTCAGAAACCTTCTAATCTAAAAAAATCCCCCAAATGCACCCTTATGAGGCTTTGGCGAATGGGGCGGCATAAAAATGTTTTAATAAAAATAAATAAAAATAAATGTTTTTTTTCTACATTCCAAAACATTCCCAGGGCCTAAAATGCCCTTCAAATCTCCTTAAACATATTCCTATGGGATATTTATGCACTCCAAACAGTAGCCCAAATAAAGGAACAAAAAGAAGCTTTAATACAGGTCATTCTCTTTCGAAAGCTAAGATTGTTATCTAAAATCTTCAGCAAAAGAATTAAAATTCATTAAAGGAAAGCTTTTCTATGTTTTTTGAAAATTAGTAGGCCAAACTATTGTTATACAGAGAAAAGGTAAATGGGTCAAGCATTGTTATACAGATTTTACTGTTATGCATAGCCTCAGGAGGGCTTCCATTACCTGTACTTGCTGAAAGCCTTTCTTATGAAATTTAAACCTATGGCAAGATGCAGGGGAGATTCAGCCAGAATAAAGGGCTTTTGTATGCAGTATTTTTCTTGCTTGAGGTGCTTTTGTCTGGGGTAACAAAATGACCCTAAATGTGATTAATGCTAGTTTTTTGTTTGACACAGGGTGAAAGTTAAACCATGGATGGACAACATGCATTCCTTGTCCTGCCTCTCATTGCCCCTCCAAAAACATCAGGAAAGAAAGAAAAAGTGTCCATAAAATACCCACATTTAGTTTGTTTACTATAGCCACTCTGGACTATCAAATGGTTTAACTTTAGCTTCAAAATGAGCTAAAGTTAACTTCTATAGTGCTCTGTGATTGGCAGTTTTCAGGGATGGGGATTATTTCTTTTGGGCCCACTGTGGAAGAACATTTATTCTGGGCACTTGTGAAAGTTCCCCTACCCTACCTCTATTTAAATTGTAAAATGCTCTGAGTAATTTGGCAGAAAGATAGTATATGAGTAGCGAGTATCTAAGTAAAGTCAACAAGATCTATGTTTCCAGATTGCATGTCACTTGCACCCTCCAAGGCTTCTTGTTGCTGACATTGCTGGTGGCATCAGCAACCCTGGGCTCCATATGCAGGCAGATGGCATTTCTTCCCCTATGCATGTTAGTGACAGGTCACTGCCTTGATATATTCATCGGCAACTCTTCTATTTTCCTCGCTACAGAATGAATCCCTGGAGAGGCAGCTGAGGGAGCTGGAAGACCGCTATGCCCTTGAGACTGCCAGCTACCAGGACACAGTGATTCGGCTGGAGGAAGACACCCAAAGCCTCAAGCAGGAGATGGCTCATCACCTCCAGGAATACCAGGACCTCCTCAATGTCAAATTGGCATTGGACATTGAGATTGCCACCTACCGCAAACTGCTGGAAGGGGAAGAAAGCAGGTGAGACCCACAGACTCCTTCCACATCCCATCTCTGTTAGTCTGGGGTTTTTGCTTCTTTTACTTGACCTTCTCTGACTTTACTGGCCTGTCCAAAACAAAACCTAGAATGAATGACTGAAAGGAGCTGGGGAGGGAGAAAGAATGCAGGGCCTGCTTCCAAGACAAGCCCTCTTTATCTCCTTTGCTTGTCTCTCTGCAGGATCACCATCCCAGTGCAAACCTTCTCCAACCTTCAGATCCGAGGTGAGGAACCCATTCTCTTAAGCTTGCTGTCACCATGTGGACATACACACACGGGACAGCATGGTATTGTAAACAGTAAGTGCTTTGCTTTGTGGTGATGGGGCACTCCAGAGAATAGGCACGTGGCACTGAAGACCCTATTCTGAGCCTTATTTGACCCAATGAACCCATTTACTTGGAAATGTTTATGCCCTGCCTTTCAATTGAGAATGTCTGAAGTGGCTAGCAGTTAAAATAACTATGATAATATTGAGCACTAAGAAGCATAAGTGTAACCGGAATCAGAGATTTAAATTTTTCATGCTATATGGAGTACCATTAGCATTAAAAAAAATCAAGTTTAAAACAAGATCTTAACAATGCACCAGAAAGACATAGAAAGGAATCAGGATGTGGCCACACATAAGGGCTTCTCCCTGAGCCCATCCAGACACACACCAGGCATTGGTGGGACACACACAGCAGAGCCTTTCTTGATCAACTGAATGAGCAGGAATGCTCATATGGGAGAATCTTTCAGAGAACCTGGACCCAAACCCTTTAAGGCTTTAAGGATCACAATCAGGTCTTTGAATTGGGCCCTTGGGGTCTTGTTACTAGCAACAGGCTCATCGTGGCAGTGAAAGCCATGAAATTTTGAGAAATCTCCAGTAACAGGAACTCTTCGCAGAAGTTTGTCCCCTAGAACTACAAGCCTTGGGAATTCCAACATCATCCCTTAAGATTTCATGCAGGAAGATTGTTGGGCAGCAAGGAAGATAGCAAGACAGCAAACCCCCTATTCTGTCCCAGGAGTCCTACATCAGAAAAACAATGTTATGGATACAGAATTCCCAAGGAGCTCTGTGTACTTCCATTCAAAGTTGATACATACATCCAGGATTAAATCTGGATGAGAGATGTCTTCCTAGCAACCAGAGATCCATTGGTTGAGAGATTATTTGGAAGGCAGGGTGGCCAAGTTGCAGCAAAGTGCCTTCCCCCACAATGGTCAGACTAAGACCATCATCTTTTCCTGTCCTCTAACCATTCATTCATTTGCCCTGTTCCTTCAATACCTCTCAAAACATTTGATGCCACCCTCTCTTACAGTCAGCTTCAAATCTTTTGTAAAATAAAAGTTTCACTCAGCAGAAAGGTAAAAGCACTCAGTTTTAAAATTACGTTAAATACAAACTTACCATACCATAACCAGCCTGAAAATTATAGACTGGGAGTCATCAAAAATTTCCAATAACATAACAGGCAAAATACTATTCAGTTACACTCTATAACTACTGGATGGCACAGAGGACTTGTTTGCACATCACAACAGTCTACCATGGTACTTCTGCAGAAGATCCATGGTGTGTCCAATGGTTAATTGGCCTCACGGTGTGTTCCTTGTCCCCTCCCTCCCCATTTAGCTCTTGGTCCTCCTACAGATATCCCAGAGGGCCTTGTGGCAGAGTCAACTTCTCTCCCCCTTTTTGCTCTGACTGCAAGCTTTTTTGTCCCTTTAACATCTTTTCTATTCCTTTCTTTTCTTTTTTTCTAAAAAATCAAAATTATTTTGACAGCTACTGTCAGCACTTGTGGGATGTCAGTGGTTGGAAAATAATTTTGTTTTAGATTGGGGGAGGTTATTTTTTATTTTTTCCCTTTGCAGAACTGCACAGGTGTGCAGTTCTAAGAGTCCAGCAGTGGGAAAGCCTCAGACAATTTACGTGTCCCGGGCATAACTGCTATCCTAGCACAGCAGGTACCAAACCTGGAAAATGACCCAAAGAGCCTTTTCCCCCTTTAGTTTCACACTTGACAGCTGTTAAAAGTTGAGCTGTAAAGAGCAAGGATATATTTTATATATTTATTTAGACAACTTATATGCCGCCCCATCGCATGAGCCTCAGGGAGGCTTACAATCATTAAAATCCTGTATAAAATGCAAAAAAATCATCAAATAAATAAAATACATAAAATAAAATAGTGGAAACAGCCTGGGTGAATCCAATGGATCTTCTCAATTCAGCCTGGTAGATTCCATTCTTCAACCCCATGCTGGCACTGACCTGAACCAGCTTCCATTTTTAAAATGAGCAGCAATCAGCATTCTTTAAGGGCAGGGAACTGTGTGCAAAATCCAAGCCTCCACTCTGCAATTTGCATAAATTGTACAAATTTTTATAGATTGCAGAAAAGAAGCATGAATTTTTCGCAGATCTAAAATTAACCATCACAAAACTCAGGGTGGCCAAGGTAGATTGTGTATACATGCTGCGAGAAAAGGATGCTGCTATACTTTGCCTGCTATATGCCAAAACAACAACTACTGCCATTTGAATTTAATGAATCAGCACCAATTCATACAAATAGCACTAGACACACAGCTTTTGAATTAAAATTCATGTGAATATTTTGGCAGTTGGATCAGACATGTGTAAAAAAGTCTCTTGAACTCAAATAGGATTTTTTTTTCCCAGTGGTGAACATCCTAGCCTAGGGAAAGATCAGGTGCATGTAATCTTTGCTTGTGAAAAGTGACAGTGGGTTTACAGACCCTTTAGTGCAAGATCTTTTTCTCTCCTCTTGTCTCATCTCATCTCGTCTTATCTTGTCTCATCTCATCTCATTTGCACTGGAGTGTCCTGAAGGTGATCTGACATTTCCAGTTGTTCCTGAGACTCTAGGTGCTCCAGAACATGGAAAAGTGTGAATCAACCCCTTTTCTTAAAAAAAAAGAAAGAGGTTCTTGACTACATATGACCCTGTGGGAAAAACATGGGGCGGGGGGTAAAGTATGAGGACTCCCCACAAAAAAACCCCAAAGGAATTTGCTGCAAAAGAGGGGATCACTCTCCCCTTTCACCAGCAAAGATCACTCACAGTTTTGCTTTCTCTTCAGAGTTCATCTTTTGGCAGCTGCCAAGAGAAAGTGAAAAATAAACCCCTTCGCAGCCTGTCTGGGTCAATGCCCACGCATGCATGCTGCCCTTTGACAGCAAACGCCCCTCAGGACGCCCCTCAGTTTGTTTAAAAGGGATAACTAACCAGTGAAAGTCCATTCTTGGAGACTGCCAGAAGCAATCTGGGGAGGGGAGGACAGTGGGAGGAAGCTACAGTGAGCACAAAAAGGCTTGCGATTGTGATGAGCCGAAGAAGATGGGTCCTGCTGTGGAGTTGCTGGGGATAGCTAAGAGAGGACTAAGGGGGAAGGGGGAAGGGGTAACCCCCAGTGAGCCCAATCATCTGCTGGGCACCCTGTGAGTTGTTTCATGAACAACCTACACTGCACAGCTTATTCTCAGGAGAGCTGTCATGATGCATGGATGTTTCCAATGGCATTCCCACTCAGGGTGGTTTACCTTGTGAGACCCCTGCTGAAATTTGATAATGTTCTGCCTTTTGTCTATAACCAAAGTAATAATTAGCATGTGTTTGTTGTGCCTTTATTTAATGTGTTTATACCTCACCATAGGTAAAATACCAATAGAACAGACAAGAATTAGCAAGACTAGTCATTGCATTAGGTTAGGATTAGGGCAGTGGACACCTCCAACAACTGATGTTGGGTGCCATGAAAAGGCAGACAATTTTATTTATTTATTTATTTATTAAAACATTTTTATGCCGCCCTATTCGCCGAAGCCTCGGGGCAGCTTACAACAATAAATTAAAATAACATTTTAAAATATATACATTAAAACAAAATACAAATATACAATATAAAACAAGCCGCCCTGGCCAGATAAAATTCAATAGTATTAACATTTAAAATGCTGCTTAAATAAAAAGGTCTTCACCTGGCGCCAGAAAACAAATAACGATGGTGCCAGGCGGACCTCTCTGGGGAGCGCATTCCATAGATTGGGTGCCCCTGCAGAGAAAGCCCTCCTCTGAGTACCTATCCTCCTAATTTCCTTCACGGAGAAGGGCCTCTCCCGCTGATCTCAGGGGGCGGGCGGGCATATATGGACGTAAGCGCTCCTTCAGGTAGCCAGGACCCAAGCCGTTTAGGCTTTATAAGTGATCACCAACACCTTGAATTGGGCCCAGACTTCAATGGGAAGCCAGTGAAGCTGACAGAGGACTGGAATCATGTGAGCATAATGCCCAGTCCCCGTCAACAGCCTGGCAGCTCTATTCTGAACCAATTGAAGTATCCGAACTGTCTTCAAGGGTAGCCCCACGTAGAGCGCGTTGCAGAAGTCAAGTCGGGAAGTCACCAATGCGTGTGTCACTGTCGCCAGGCAGTCGTACTCCAGGTAGGGGCGCAGCTGATGGATCAGCCGAAGCTGAAGGAAGGCGCTCCTCACCACCGCTGTCACCTGAGCTTCCAGTGAAAGCTCTGGGTCGAGGAGCACTCCCAAGCTGTGGACCTTGTCCCTAAGAGGGAGTGCAACCCCATTCAGGACTAGGTTCAATTCACCCTCACCAAAGCTCGTTCCGCCAACCAACAGGGCCTCCGGCTTGTCTGGATTGAGCTTCAGTTTATTGGCCCTCATCCAGCCCATTACCTTGGCCAAGCACCGGTTCAGCACAGCCACTGCCTCACCTGGATTGGTGGAAAACGAGAGGTAGAGCTGGGTATTATCAGCATACTGATGATTCCACAGCCCACACCTCCTGATGACCTCTCCCAGCGGTTTCATGTAGATGTTAAACAGCAAAAGGGACAAAATGGACCCCTGCGGTACTCCATGGCATAGCTGCCATGGCGCAGAGCCATAGTCCCCCAGCACCACCTTCTGGAAACAGTCATTGAGATAAGAGCGGAACCACTGCAGAGCAGTGCCTCCGACCCCCCACTCCCGCTAGCCTATCCAGAAGGATACCATGGTCGATCTACTGAGAGGTCCAGGAGAACCAACAGGGACGCACTCCCCCTGTCCTTCTCCCTGCACAGGTCATCATACAGGGCGACCAAGGCAGATTCAGTACCGTACCCAGGCCTGAAGCCGGACTGAAATGGGTCCAGATAATCAGTTTCATCCAAGAGTGCTTGGAGTTGTCCCACCACCACCCGCTCCAACACCTTGCCCAAAAACAGGATGTTGGCCACTGGTCTATAATTACTGGCCATTTCTGGATCCAGTGATGCTTTCTTCAAGACCGGTCAGACTACTGCCTCCTTTAAAGAGGCAGGTACCCAACCCTCCCTCAGAGAAGCGTTAACCACTTCCACGATCCAGATCCCAATCCCGTGCTTGGCGTTATTTATTAACCGAGACGGGCAAGGGTCCAATAGGCAAGTGGTGGGATGTACTCGTCCAAGCACCTTGTCCACATCATCAGGCCGCAATAACTGAAATTCATCCATTAATTTTGGACCAGGCGGCGGCATTGGTATCTCCCCAGAAACCTCTGAGTCACTAGTAGAGTCTAGCTCGTGACGAATCTGAGCAATTTTCTCCCTGAAATGCTTGGCAAAGTCGTCACAGCGGGCCTTCAAGGGTGAAACCAGATCTTTCTTGGGGCCAGGATAAACCAGGCCATGCACCACTCGAAAAAGCTCCGCCAGACGGCATTTTGAGGAGGCAATGGAGATGGAGAAGAATTCCTTTTTTGCCACCCTCACTGCCACAGCATAGGCCCGATAATGGGCTCTCAAGTGTGTTCGGTCAGATTCATCCCGTGATTTCCTCCACCTACGCTCTAGCCATCTCCCAGCCTGCTTCATCGCCCGCAATTCAGGTGTATACCAAGGGGAAGAGTGGGCTCTGCCTGGCGGGAGAGGACGCTTAGGAGCGATCGTGTCAACAGCCCTGGTCATCTCCCCATTCCACAGTTCGACCAGGGCCTTGACAGGAGCACCAGTCTTGTCAGCCGGAAACTCCCCCAGGGCCTTCAGGAATCCATCCGGATCCATTCAGCTCCGAGGGCAGACCCACACAATCGGGTCCGCACAGTTACAGAGGGAGAGGTCACTCTCGAGCTCAAACCTCACCAGGAAGTGATCTGACCATGACAGGGGTGTCAGTCATAAATTCTTCACCCTCAGACCACCCTCTTCCTGCCTCGTCGAGAAAACCAGGTCCAGGGTGTGTCCACGTTCATGGGTCGGGCTGGTGACATGTTGAGACAGCCCCATGGCCGTCATGGAGGCCATGAAGTCCTGAGTCGCCCCGGTCAGACCAGTCTCGGCATGGAGATTGAAGTCCCCCAGGACCAACATCCTGGGGGTCCTCAACACCAGGTCCGAGACGATCTCTGTCGGCTCAGGCAGGGAGACAGTTGGGCAGAAGGGTGCACAGTACACCAACAGAATCCCCAATCTGTCTCGGTCGCTCATCACCAAGTAGAGACACTCCAGCCCTGGCCTCGAAGGGACCGAAAGTCCCGTGAGGGAGATGGAGGCTCGGTAAACCAAAGCGACCCCCCCCTCCCCTCCAGGCGTGGACCGTGCTGAACCAAATACCTGGGCAGGCACATTTGAGAGAGGGCGACATCCCCCCCCTCCTGCCCAGGTCTCCGTTATGCAAGCCAGGTCGGCCCCCTCATCCATAATCAAGTCATGGATGAGAGAAGATTTATTGTGGACCGACCTGGCATTAAGCAGCAGCACTGTCAGGCCCAAGGGGCGGTTGACAAGACTACCTGGCACCCTCTGGCTGGGGGCAGAACCAGAACGAGAGACAGGTGTCAGCCATCTGTCCCTCCTTCTTCTACTCAGACACGTAAAGCCCCCACCTCTGTAACACCCATTGCCCATGACCATGCCAATGGGGGCGCCCCCGCGCTCCCCAGGAAACTCAAGCATCGGCATGGCCAGGGATGACTCCATAAAACAAATTAAAATACAATAAAAACTTTAAAACAATCAAAAACTCCCCCTTATTACCCCCCCCAAACAAAATTAAAAAACCCCCCCCCCACCAACCCATTCCCCCCCCAGCCCAGCCCCGCACAGCCACAAACGGCCACAAACGGTGGCACCGCCCTTCGGCTGCCGGCCCGCGCGCCCCGCCCCGATTGGCGTCGCTCTCACCGTTGCCGGCGGGGGGGGAGCAGGGGGGGCGCGGGAACCCTCCCGGCACCAAGATGGCGGCGCCCTCCTCTGCGCCGGCGGCAGCGGCAAGCCTGGCATGGCCCCGGCATCCTCCGTGCCCGGGGTGACCCAGCGGTGGCCGTGGGAGCGGCGTCAGCTGGCCCCCGGCCCGGTGGTGCCCTTAGGTCCGGCGGCGGCGGCAGCATGGCGCGGCAGGTGTTCGGGGGGGGGAGGAGGGAGTTCCATCTTAAGATGGCTCTGGTTCTTTAGGATGGGTGAAAAGATTCATAGGCTTCCCTCTTTCTGCAGCTGTTTCATATGTCAACCTGCTCTTAATTCTCTGGGGCTTAGTAAGTCTCATAGGAAATCAACCTCAAGCCTTCCAGAGCAACCAGATGTTAGTCGCATCCGACATGCCTGTAGCACTTGGGGAGTTGCTCAAAGTGCTTCATACTGATACCAGATTCATTCTCAGGAATCCTTACAATGATCATGGAAGACAAGTCAGGATATCAGGATATCCTCGTATTGCACACAGTGGACTGACAGCAGGGTGACTTGCTTACACCGGGGCTGATCACAGAATAGTAGAGTTGGAGGAGGTCAAGAAGGCCATTGGCTCCAACCCCCTGCTCAGTGCAGGACTGCAGGTTAAACCATCCCTTCTAGATCATATTCTTCAGGTGCAATTCTATACACCACCGCTTGGCCAAAAGGACCACCCAGTACAGTGGAACTTGATTCCAAGTAGAATTGCCCTGCTGGTCACTCACTCTTTTCCACCTGCTGTTTTTAAACTCGTTGCACTTTATTCCACTTTACTGCTTTTTTGGAAGTGACATGTTGCCACATGAGAAGCTACTTAAAATATTCCTACATGAAACCTCACCTTTTGACTCCTTAAATAAGATTCATCTGTGTGGCATTTGCACATGCTCTGTGTTACAGAGACATTTGTCAGTCAAGATGCTACTATTCAAAAACAGTTGTGTCTAGTGATGCCTCCCTGTTAACTAGCTGAGTTTTCCCCTTCCCTTCACCCTGGGGGTACAGCTCCATCAGGGTACAGAAGGGAGTTTAGTTCAGCCATCTCTAGTCCTCCCATCCAAAGGCCTTCGGCATCTTCCTCTGTTGCTTTTTCTCATGGTCTCATGGCTTTCCTGAACACCCATCGCAGACCCCTAGTGGTTCCTAGATCACAGTTGAATCATTGCTACGCTATGACAATGACCAGGCTGTTCTTCCCTTTCCGCCAGAAACCAGCCTGGACACAAAGTCTGTTTCTGAGGCCCTTCTGAAGAGGAGCATTGTGGTCAAAACAGTGGAAACAAGAGATGGAGAGGTATGCTAATGCTACCCATGCATCTGAAGCCTTCTGATTTCTCATTGAAAGGGAGATGCAACATCTATGTTAGACTAGGTAGGGGAGTCTCAGGGTCCTTTCCACTTAATCCTCACTAGCAGAGGTGGGCTTAAAGGGCTCTGAATTTTACGGAATGGTTTTGCCAAGATGTAGTTGAAAACTTTAAAAGCCCCTTTCCTTTCAAGAGAAAGAAGTCAATTAAGTGTTTTATTAACACTTCCTAACTACATTAGTAGATGACAATACATCCAGAAATGCATTCAGTTACACTAAAATTCCTCTTAAAATCCACATTATTCCAAGTGCTTTTTCTCTGTGGCTGAGTACAAGCTAACCTGAAGCTGGAGTGGAGAAGGCAGGTACTCACCATGATGGCAGCCTTGGCACAATGAGACCTTGTTTTCCAACAAGTTTCTGGTGGAGCTCTTTGCCAGACAGAAGGCATTGCACCCATTTCAGCATTTTTCATCCCCTCCTACTAGATGAAGCATCATACCTCCATTTTGCCCTGCCCAGGCTGTTTAAGCAGCCATTGCCATCAGGCACAGGAGGCTTCCTTTGTATGTTGTTGTTAGTCGCAAAGTCATGTCCGACCCATTGCGACCCCATGGACAACATTCCTCCAGGCCTTCCTGTCCTCTGCCATCCCCCAGAGTCCAATTAAGCTCATGCCGACTGCTTCAGTGACTCCATCTAGCCACCTCATCCTCTGCCATCCCCTTCTTCTTTTGCCATCTATTGTTCCCAACATTAGGCTTTTCTCCAGGAAGTTCTTCCTTCTCATTAGGTGGCCAAAGTATTTGAGTTTCATCTTCAGGATCTGGCCTTCTGAAGAGCAGTCAGGGTTGATCTCCTCTAGGACTGACCGTTTTGATCGCCTTGCAGTCCAAGGGACTCGCAGGAATCTCCTCCAGCACCACAATTCAAAGGCCTCAATCCTTTGGCGCTCAGCCTTCCTTATGGTGCAGTTTTCACAGCCATACATTGCAACTGGGAAAACCATAGCCTTGACTATACGCACTTTTGTTGGCAGGGTGATGTCTATGCTTTTTAGTATGCTGTCTAGATTTGCCATAGCTTTCCTCCCCAGGAGCAAGCGTCTTTTAATTTCTTGACTGCAATCCCCGTCTGTGGTGAAATTGGACCCCAGGAAAATAAAATCTGTCATTACCTCCATTACTTTCCCATCTATTTGCCAGGAAGTAAGAGAACCGGATGCCATGATCTTAGTTTTCTTGATGTTGAGTTTCAAGCCAACTTTTGCACTTTCCTCCTTCACCCGCATCAAGAGGCTCTTTAGCTCCTCTTCACTTTCTGCCATGAGAGTGGTATCATCTGCATATCTGAGGTTGATGATATTTCTCCCAGCAATCTTAATTCCAACTGATGATTCATCCAGCCCCACCTTTCTCATGATGAGCTCTGCATATAAGTTAAATAGGCAGGGCGATAGTATACAGCCTTGCCGAAATCCTTTCTCAATTTTGAACCAATCAGTGGTTCCGTGCCTAGTTCTCACTGTTGCTTCTTGACCCGCATATAGGTTTCTCAAGAGACAAATAAGATGGTCTTGTACTCCCATCTCTTTAAGAACTTGCCACAATTTGTTGTGATCCACACAATCAAGGGCTTTAGCATAGTCAATGAAGCAGAAGTAGATGTTTTTCTGGAACTCCCTAGCCTTCTCCATGATCCAGCGTATGTTGGCAATTTGAACTCTAGTTCCTCTTCCTCTTCAAAATTCTGCCTGTATTCCTGGTAGTTCTTGGTCCACATACTGCTGGAGCCTAGCTTGTAGGATTTTGAGCATAACTTTGCTAGCTTGTGAAATGAGTGCAATGATGCGGTAGTTTGTACATTGTTTGGCATTGTTCTTCTTTGGGATTGGAATGTAAACTGATCTTTTCCAAACCTGTGGCCACTGTTGAGTTTTCCAAATTTGCTGGCATATTGAGTGTAGCACTTTTACTGCATCGTCTTTTAAGATTTTGAATAGCTCAGCTGGAATACTGTCACCTTCACTAGCTTTGTTGTTGCTCAGACTTCCTAAGGCCCATTTGACTTCACATTCCAGGATGTCTGGCTCCAGGTCGGTCACCACCCCACCGTGGTTATCAGGGACGTTAAGCTCTTTCTTGTATAGTTCTTCTGTGTAATCTTGCCATCTCTTCTTAATCTTTTCTGCCTCTGTCAGGTCCCTGCCATTTTGGTCCTTTATCATGCCCATCTTTGCATGAAATGTTCCCTTCATATCTCCAATTTTCTTGAAGAGATCTCTGGTCCTCCCTATTCTATTGTTTTCTTCTATTTATTTGCACTGTTCATTTAAGAAGGCATTCTTATCTCTTCCAGCTATTCTCTGGAATTCTGCATTCAATTGGGTGTATCTTTCTCTTTCTCCCTTGCCTTTCACTTCCCTTCTTTCCTCTGCTATTTGTAAAGCTTCCTCAGACAGCCATTTTGCTTTCTTCATTTCTTTTTCTTTGGGATGGTTTTAGTTGCTACCTCTTGTACAATGTTGCGAACCTCCACCCATAGTTCCTCAGGCACTCTGTCTATCAGATTTAATTCCTTAAATCTATTTGTCACCTCTACTGTATATTCATCAGGGATATGATTTAGGTCATACCTGAGTGGCCTAGTGCTTTTCCCTACTTTCTTCAATTTAAGCGTAAATTTTGCAACGAGAAGCTCATGATCTGAGCCACAGTCAGCTCCTGGTCTAGTTTTTACTGACTGTATAGAGCTTCTCCATCTTTGGCTGCAGAGCACATAGTCAATCTGATTTCTGTGTTGACCGTCTGGTGATGTCCATGTGTAGAGTCGTCTCTTGGGTTGTTGGAAAAGAGTGTTTGCTATGACCATCGTATTCTCTTGACAAAATTCTACCAGCCTGTGCCCTGCTTCATTTTGTACACCAAGGCCAAACTTGCCTGTTATTCCGGTTATCTTTTGGCTTCCTACTTTAGCATTCCAATCCCCCAGGATGATAAGGACATCATTTTTTGGTGTTAATTCTAGAAGGTGTTGTAGCCTTCATAGAACTGGTCAACTTCAGCCCCTTCCGCACCAGTGGTTGGGGCATAGACTTGGACTATTGTGATGTTGAATGGTTTTCCTTGGGTTCGATCTGAGATCATTCTGACATTTTGGAGATTGTATCCCAGTACTGCTTTTCCTACTCTTTTATTGACTATGAAGGCTACTCTATTTCTTCTAAGGGATTCTTGCCCGCAGTAGTATCCCTGATGGTCATCTGATTTAAATTCCCCCATTCCTGTCCATTTTAGTTCTCTGATTCCTAAGATGTCGATGTTCAGTCTTATCATCTCTTGTTTGACCACATCCAGCTTGCCTTGATTCATGGATCTTACATTCCAGGTTATCTGGGTGAAGAATCCACTTGAAGTCCTGTCCCAGTGACTTTTCGAGAAGCCCTAAGGAAAGAAATTCCTTGGTTTCCTTAGTTATTTTGTCCATTACTGAACTGTTTTTCTTCCTCTTTGTGGTTCTATTCTTTTTGCATCTTATCTTGACATCAGTAGGTGACAGATTAGATTAGATCCCTTTGTTTACCAAGTTCCTTTGTAAAATGGCGGCATAACATACATTTTGTTTAGGGCGTGTACCCGCTTTCTTCATAATGTCTTCTAGAAACTTGATCATCCCAATGGCCTTCTTCTGTATCATTTTTCAATCTTCCAGCATTTGCCTTTAACTGTAATACTCAGAACCCCAAACGAGTTATCACTGCCACTGAGTAAAATATATTACAACTATCTATACTTTGGATTGGAGGGTGCATTTTATATGCTACCACCCAGGAATGCTTTGGCCTTTGAGTCCAGCATGGATGTTCCAGTTGGTTATCTGCTAGTCTCTCTCCATTTTGCTCAGATGTGCTGCTCTTTAGCCAATAGTCTATTTCTTGCCCTTCGGCATTGGACTTGTCCTTTTTCTTGTGTGTAGCACACACAGGCTTTCATTTTGCTGCTCTCCTCGCATGGCTGTAGATGATAGAAATGCTACTGAGATTTATAGCTTTGGCACAGGCTTTTGAGCAATATAAAGTAACTTTTCTTTCAGAACTGGTATGTAAGACTGGAAAATAGATGAAGGAAAACAGTTGGAGCAGTGTTGTTGGCAAGTCTCACTTCTGAGTTTCTGCTGAATTAGAGTAGCTGCATGACTCAGATCAAAAGTCTTGCGAGCTAATCCTGGAAGGAAATATTTGACTGAGTTGATCAGCAGAAAAGAACAACAAACTCCAAAGTGTCAAGCCATAACCTTTCACTGCACACAGAATACACATATGAGTGATAGTCAAATGGGATGATCTAACAGTAATTGGTATTTACACAGGGCTTTAGAGTATTCAAAATGCTTCACATAATCTTGTAATCCTTACAGCAACTCCATAAAATAAGCTAGTGTTATCACCCCCATATTGTATGTGGGACCTGGAATCTGAGAGGTGGCCTCAGGCAAGCCAGTGGAGGTTCAGTTAGAGGATTTAGGCAAGCAAGTTCATAGGTGATTCACTGATATGAAGTGCAAGGGTGGTGGAAGGGTCCTGTTTTGTGGCTTATGCAAATCCAATATGCATTTACCTGTGAGTAAACTCCACTGACTGGGGCTTAACTTTGAGCGGACAGGATAGGATTTCACTGTCATAGCTAAAATTTCTCTTTTGCATGGGATTTAAATCTTTCTGTGCCTTGCTAATACATTTCAAGTTCTGTCCTCAAGGTTTATTTACATCCAGAAAAACAAACCACGTCAAGCTAAATAGACACAATAAAATAGAACCATCTTCATTGCTTACTTTTCAATCAAATTTCATACTCATTTGCCCAAAACTCTGGTGAAAACTGAGTTTCCATTTCTAGCTCTCATGTTGCTATCTATATTGCTCAGGGGTGGGCAACTTTTTATATCCATGGGCATACCTGGAAATTTGGGGAACTGTTGCAAGTACAGCCATAAAATAGCTTCCCTGAGTGGACATGGCTAATCACAAAGGACAAGCCACTTGCCTGGAGACATTCATGAGAGGTGAGGAAGGTAAGAGCTAGAGGTTCCCAGTTCTCTTTGAAGTAATCCCAGCTGCCAGTAAGAATACATAAAAATATTTTAAGATAAAAATTGGAAGGACTAGGAACTCTTGGTGGGCACCAGAGAAGGTATCAGGGGGCATATTGATGCCTGTGGACACAGCATGGTTTCCATCACTTGGGTTTTTCAGTAAAGCAACAGTAACCAAAAATATTCAGAAAGGAGAGTACAGGTTGTTAAATAAAAGTGAATGAGAAGATCCTGCCCTTAAAGCTGGCCTATTAAAAAAAACAAAAACACCTCATTCTGTGGCAGCTAAAACGGGGGATAATAACTGAACAAGGCAAGTAACTTTCCCATTGTTTTCTTCACTCTGGCAGGTGATCAAGGAGTCCACCCAGGAGCACAAGGAAGCGGTGTGAAGCAGGCAGCCATGAAGTAAAAGCCGCATGAGTGGAGCAGGGAAGCTTATAGCTGTAGGATGCTAGGAGAGCTTCGCGTCTTTCTGATGCTTCACTCCCATGGTCCCAAAACAGCTCCAGATATGGCAGCAGTCACAATGAATGTCACTGGAGCCACTGGAGAAGCAGCAAGGGGTGTGAAACATTTGCAAATTTAACTATTAATGAGAGGAAAAATGAGCTGCACATCAGGTCTCTGTTTAAAGTCAGTTTCCTTCTATCATTTTGTATGCTTCAGTTACTTTTAAAGTGTCCAAACAGGTCATCTTTATACTGGTTTGTAGCTGGTCTTGCTCTCATCATAGAAGTACCAAACTATGATACTTCTCAATAAGCCCACTAATGAATAGGATCCATTTTTATTGCTAATAATGGAAAGATGGGTATGTTAGAAAGAAAGAGAAAGAGTGTGGTTGCAAACCAGTGGCCTAGAGGGATTTCTTTTCTCCCACCCAGCACAGCTATTTAAACATTTAAAACTGTGCTTGTTAATTGCTTACACATGATTTATGTCATGTTTAGCTTGGTCCTCACAATGAATGCATTTTGTTCATGGATGTAGCTTGACTGATTGCCTTATCTGAAGAATTCTAACTCCAGCCAGATTTGACTAGCAGCTCTCAATTGCTTCTTCTGTAGCTTGTGTAATCCCCTGGCAGATCTGCTGGCTGGCTGGTTGTCTCTTGGGTCCGTGTTTCAGATTTGATACATTGCTATGTATTCTAATCTACCTTTCCTCCAAGGAACTAATGGTGGTGGATGTGGTTCTTCCCCCCATTTCATCCTCAGCACTGGTTTATGAGGTAGGTTGGGCTGAGACATACCTACTGAGCTTCATGACTAATTGGGAATTTAAACTGCAATCTCCGCAGAACTAGCCATAAGGCATAACAACACACTGATGGGTTTGATTGCCACTGAACATCTTTCCAAACTGATAACTGTGTGTGTGTCCTAACAAGAAAGTCTAATGTATTGCGGCCCAAGCAAATGGGCAAGGCAGTTCTATTCTTATGAGTACTACTTGAACTACTTGAGGTACTACTATATTTGAGCTGTATGCAAAACTGTACGTTTTCCAAGAAGGACAGATTATTGGAATGCAATGGAGAATGAAGAAAGCTGGTGGGAATGAGACTGAAGGGCAGAGTGGCAAAAGAGAGAAAAACGAGGAGTGAGGGCTGGGGCATTCAAGGAAGATGGGGACAGTATCATGTTGCAAATGATTCATTGGGCTGTTATCTGTACCATTAGAGATCCAGGACACAAGAGTTACAGAGAAAAGCTTGGTGGAACTCGGCTTAGTGAAAAGAATATTTAGGCTAGTAAAAAGAATAGGAGGATTGGAAATGATAGTCCTCAAACATCCAAAAGTTGCCTTAAAAGCCAACCAACACCATTCTTGAGGGTTCAGGCAGGTTTATTGTATAGCTAGTCTCTCGGTTTGTGGGTGTGTGAGGGGGACAGAATTAGGGAAATCAGAAACCTCAGCTTGAAACAGAGCAGAATTGTGCTGCATATCAGAAAGGCACAAGTAAGTGGACAACAGAAGTTAGGAAGTCTCCCTATGTGGAACTTTCCAGAAAGACATTGTGCCACCACCTAGCGTCAATTCTACTGGAATTCTAGTCACTACATGGCTAGATAGTCTATGAAACAGTCGCTCAGAGGAAAAAGAAAAAGAAAGGTCATCTAGTTCACTTGCTTTTTCTCACTCTTCCGTTATAACAAGACTTATTTATCCCTCAGCAGAAGAACATCAGTCTCTGTAACTCAGGTGACCTGTTTGCACAATCATGGCAGGGCAATTAAGTTGCTGCAGTTTATTCCTACTTCATACAGAGGGGGAATTGACAGCAGCAGCAGCATGACTCCCATGTCATGTGACCATACAAGCTTGCAACAGAGGGCGCAGCCTTGCTGAGAATAATCATGCTAATGCACCCCACCCCCCCCGAATATGACCAGCACACACAGTGTGGTTATAACAAGTCTATGCCTTATCAACCACCCTGTGATCGTGGAAACTGGGCCTATGGTTCCATGGTCAGGCCAAGCACTGGGTAAAGTTGCTTGTTCACTGCAGAATTTGTAACCCGTTGCAGGATTTAGAACGTGGAAAGTTTCATTTTTCAAAACCCAGCAAGAGATAACAATCAGACTATATAGACCCAAGTCTTAGATAAGAGATGTATTCTGGACTGGGCTTTGTTAAAGTGTTAGGGGACAGCAATTCTTCAACCAACCATTTTTTTTCTTTGCCTTTTCATCATCCTTTGTTTCAATATAACTAATGTACATGATGCAATGTAAATGGGTACAAACCAACAAACTTCATGCAGCATATGTATAGATTAGACTTTGGGTTAGTCCTTGCAAAGAGGGCTAGTTAAGATATTCCAGGATACAACAACTTTTGCAAAATTCAGGAGTTAGCTCAGAAGGCGATACATTCAGATAGACAGTAAGAGAAGAAATACTATTCTTGTGTTCTAGTCTTCCCGGCTCCCTTCCAGGCAGTACTTAATAGAGAGTTTCCAGAGCTGGAAATCATAATCTTTTTCTTGGGAGCCATTTCTCATTAGAATTAAGAAGGTAAAAGGAAGTGACAGGAAAGAGGTCCTTCCCTGCAGCAGCATATAGGGAAGGCAGAGGACAAACATATGTTCTACACTTTTCAGTGGCTATAGTGAAAAGACCAGGTTTTATTCCGGTGCCAGTGTAGACTGGATTTGTACATTAACCTCATGACATACTGTAACTTCAGTTGCTTAAGGCATTCAATCTGGGACATAAAATTCAGTAATGTCCATTTCTCATAAACAAGCTCTCGTAAGAGAGCTGTGTTATTTCTTGTCATTCCAAAAATGTTTCTTATTGAAGTATTTCACTGCTGTCCCTATGCATTATGTGCAAATGTGCATGGTCTGAATGTACTTTTTGTTGTGCTTAATGCTTAAAAATTTTGGAGGGGAAATTACATTATATTTGCACTGGCCACAAAACTCCCCCATGCCAATGCACTCTTTTAACTGAGTTACTATGGAAAAGAAATATCTACTTTGAAAAAATTAAAATCAGATAACGGCAGGAGAAGTGACAGAGATTCAGAAGGGAGTCTGAAGTTAACATTGCCTCCATTGAATACTTTAGTTGATACTAGTTGATACTAAAATGTTGATTCAAACCAGCTTTGCTAATCAAGCAGTTAAAGTACATAGTTTGTGAGATGTAGTCAGCTACAACTAATAGTGGATAGCTTCAAATTAAAAAAAAAGACAGGATTACGGTTTCAAGAATAGTAGTTTAGTCTACAATTGCCATCCTTTGTGTGCTTGCTTTTCATGGAAAAGTCATTTGATATTTTTGCTAATGTTCCCAGCATTTTCAGTGTTGCCAACTTGTCCTTTCAGGCCTGATCTGTGGCACTTTTTTCAGAGTAATGCAGGACCACTGTGTCCAGTATGGACTGGCAAAGTACTGAGATTGATCAGTGGGACTGGACCTTTAATTAAAAGATCCTGCTGTCTTTAACTGTTTTGTGTTTTGCATGGAACAGATGAACTGCCCTTTGAGGAATCAATTCCTATTTCTTGCAAGGCGACAGGAAAAGAAGTTAGTTACTTATTTCCTTCCATCTATTGCAAAATAACATAATTAAAGCCAACTAACCCCACCACCACCACCACCTGCGGACTGGTGTCCTACTTTACAGAGGACAATCCTTATTTTGAAGAGCTAGCAGTAGACAATCCTGTATTTTGAAGATCTCCCCTGTCCAAGGCCAATTTAAAGGTAGAAACCTTAAGCAGTAAGAACGAGGCCTTGACATCATCCATTAATAATTAGCATCCAGCCAGCAGACTAGCAGGCACACAGATCACTGGCTCACAGTCTTAGCTGCTATGGTAGGATAGACTGCATTTCTATTTAAGCTATTTCTAAATTTGTATGCATATATATAAACTAGCAAATGGAAATGTTATGCAGATTGGTGTCTTCTATTATCTTCTTTTTGGCAATGCCCAAGCAGTTAACTTCCTCCTCACTACAGAGAACAGCAACCAAGAGGTAATTAATCAGTAGCACTACAATGAGTTCAACTGAAAGTAATTAGAGGTAGGAGCTGCTAGGAGAAAATAATTGCTAAAAGTTGCAAGGAGACCTTTGCCGAACAGGACTTACTTCTGAGTAAACATTAAAGAGGGATCTTAGCCACAAGGTTGGGCACAGCTTTGGATAATATAGTGCTACATTAAACACTGTGTGGAACAATCATTTTAATTGGAAATTTAGGAAATATGAGTATTTTAGCATGAGCTTGACAACTGATACAAAACTTGACTGTACTCTTTCGATTGCAGAATACTAGGATATTACCATCCAGATAGAGAAAGAATTCACTTACACAGAATACTTACGTGCTTGTAATTTACCCAACATTATTCACTTTACTATTTTAACACAATCCAATTCCAGCTGATGGTGGAAAAACAATGCCTCAGCAGTGCTAGGAAGCATGAGTGTGGGTACAGCCAGCCAGCCTGGGATCCATGTGTTCCACTCCCCACACATGTGCAAGGGGAGGAAAATGTGGGCATGAAACTGTTCAGTGTGATACTAATGCTCTTCTAGCACACGAAAATTACAGTTGATCCATACGCACCATCACTGCAGACAAGTCTAGCCCAAACTAATCAGTACCCTGGTGACTGTTGCTGTTCTAACAATGTTAACTCTGATTTTTTTTCTTGGGGTAATTCTTGGTTGTGTCTAAATATTCTACAACTTTTACGCTATTTTTCATATGCTAGTTTCTCAAAAATGCTTGCATATCTCCTTATGTCCGGTCAATTTTTAATACTATCACTTTTTAAAGGAGTTCTGCATTAAAACACTTTGCAAATATTAAAATATTATGAAGGGCAGCATTGATGTCCTCTAAAATTGCACTCTTGATTATTTTTTCTTTTGAAATGATTTCATAAAGTAGTTCCCCACCTCATTTTTCTTGCTTGAGTTTTCTATTTGTTCACTTGGGACGGGGGGGGGGGGGGTGAGCCAGGGCTATATTCTGCCTTTCAATGTATTTCCAGGTTGGTTTACATAAAAAAATACAAAAACAGTTAACACGCACAAAGCAAAACAAAAAATGGCATGTATGAGTAGATTAAATAACATGACAGAGAAACTAGAGCATGTTAGGAAGCCTGTGTAAATTAGTGTACTTCTAGTACCAGAATGACACGAATATAGTTGCCAGGTGAGCCTTCTGAAGAAAGCATTTCAAAGTCAGAGCTCCACCACTGAAAAGGCTTTTTCTCCAGTACCATTCCTCATTTGCTGTGTAAAATGAATGAAAGGCAGTAGCCTTTGATTTTGGTTTCCAGAGAGATGACACAGATTTGGGGAATGGATGAAGAGGACTGATGCTGTTGTGTAATACCAGCTCAACCTACACTTGTAAATACACATGACTAAAGGTAGCATAAATCTCCCTTATCCTGTGAAGGATGCCCTGAGTTACTGAAAGAACAATGTGAAACAACATAAAAGTGAACCTTTATAGAAATGTCTTGCACAGCTCCCAAGAAGCTGAAAAATATGGTTGACACTGATGTGCCAAAAAAAAAAAAAATCTACCAAAAAGGTGGGTGGGAATTCATGCCTCTGTTCACCAGGCATTTTGTGAGCTCTCTGCATTACAGTTCCTGGAGTGTATAATTCCTTTCTATTCTCTGAATCATCACCGTCTGAATTCAGCAATCTTCAAGGCTGCCAAAAGTGCAACTACGTGTAAAGCTGGCTCTCAGCTTTTTCCAACACCAGACAATAGGGGATAATTAATACACTGACAAAGTAACAAGCAAAAGAATGGAAATCTTTTACTGTGCCAATTACGCAGGGGCAACTGTTATCTGCCCCAACCAGGCTAAAAAGGAAACTACCTGTTTGCATGCAACTGTTCACACGGGATTGCCTTTTGGTGTAAAACCCCTACATATTTTGCCTTTGATACTGAATCAGACAATTTGTCTATTTAGCCCCAGTACATTTTACTTAGACTGGCAGATGTAACATTTCAGGCAGAAAGAATCTTTCCCAGTCCTGCTTGAAATCCTTTTAAATCCAGAGATATGGGGGTCTGGAGTTGGACTTGGGATCTTCTGAAGCCAAGCATTTGCTCTATTTATTTATTTAAAACTTTTGTAGACCATCCCATTACTGAAGTTTCAGGATGGTTTAACAATACAAAATGTAAGAAATGAAAAATTAAAACACAACATCCTAAAATTTAGCAATTAAAAAACCCAATTAAAACAGCCAGGTCTTAAAACATTGGGAAAATAAAAAGGGGTTGGCCTGGCACTGAAAAGAATAAAGTGATGGTGCCAGGCGAACCTCCCTGGGGAGCGAATTTCACAATTGGGGTGCCACTGCAGAGAAGGCCCTTCTATGGGTAGTCACCCTCCTAATCTCCTTCAGGGAGAGTATCCAGAGAAGGGCATCTGCCCCAGATTTTAAAGGGTGGGTGGGCACATATGGAAGGAGATGCTCCTTCAGGTAACCAGGTCCTAAGCTGTTTAGAGCTTTATAGATAATTACTAGCACCTTAAATTGCCTCCGGGCTTCAACTGGAAGCCAGAGTAGGTGGAAAAGGACCGACATATGTTCATACCTGCTGGTCCCTGTTAACAACCTGGCAGCTCTATTCTGGACCAGTTGAATTATCCGGACCATCTTCAAGGGCAGCTCCATGTAGAGCATGTTACAGTAGTTCAATTGGGAAGTTACCAGGGTGTGGCTCTATCTATAGTTAAGAAAAGGAATCACCCAGAAAGCTTTGACTGAAAATGAGAATGAGCTTTGGTGAGATAGAAATGAAATAATAGCAGCAGTGGCATAGGAATCTGCCTTGCCCTGTGTTAGATGATTGATCAATACTGACTGGCAAGAATGGCTGCTTGGATTTTCAAGAGGAACTCTTCTAGCCCTATCTGGACATACCAGGACCTTCAAAAAGCAAATGCTCTGCCATTAAACTACCTACCCCTAGCTGAAGAACTGCAGATAGCTGAAGCTGACCAACAATACCAGGTAATACTCCAGTGTAATAGTTCTCAGTTTGGACCTTTTAAATACAATTGTTTGTACGTTTTTTGCAAGCTGGTATATTATTACACTAGAAAGTAATACAACAGAAAGAATATGCCCACATTAGATAAAAATATTTAAGAATGACATCTCCTTCTGTCAAAGAGTGTGTAATATGTTTATTAAATTATACACTGTCTCACATTTTAAAAGGATGATCATCCAAAAAGTACCTTTACTGAGGATTTGCAAAATATTTTTAAGATCAATTGCTTATCTGGTCAAGACTGTTGTTCAATTAATTGTTCAATTACCCAAGTTGCAATCCTATGCCTCCATACATCATCTAGGAGGCCATAGGATTTTTTTTTTTTTCCCGGGAGACCTAGCACCAAGTGCCCGAACCCCAATATCCTCGTTCCCAGCCTGATCCCCCCCACAGCCACTGCAAGAAGAACTGTGCCAATTGCCTTTCCAAAAGCAGAAATATACCTTGAAGAGGTAGAAAGGGTGTGCACTGAAACCTAGGGGAGAGGCTAGAGAAGGGAGGTGACTAGGGCTGCTTACCTATGCCAGTTCTGTCAATGTCCCAGCCTCCTTCTCTCTCTGTTCCTGGCACTTTATCCAGATGACTGAAATGAGCCATCTAGATAAAATTTATTAGGTGAGATGCAACAGTGGAAGAGATTGTGACCACTGGAACTTGCTTCAGCCATTGGATACCATAAACCTTGAAGTTCAGAGGCTTACATGCATCTAGGATGGGAACAATAGAATTGCACCCTGATGCACTAATAACATTTTTAGTAATAATTATTTATTAAGTCAATGGGCATTTTCCTGGAAAATGCTATTCCATAGCTGTGCATTTGAAGGCATAAATGCAACAGCGGATCATATGGATGATGACAAAGAGGATGGTGATTACAACATAGCTTGTGAAGATCATCTTCACAGCATACTGTGTTTCGGGATCATCAAGGCTTCGTTTGCGTCGGCTTTCATATACCACAGATAGTCGAAAACCAGCAACCATTTGTCCCTCTCGCCAGCAGTAGTAGATACCTTTGTCATTCATCTGGGCAAAGCGGATATGTAATTGATTTCCATGGTCAATGAAGACCCTCATGCTCTTGTTGACCCCAACAAGGAACCTTGTGAGGTATAGCCGAGTTGAATCTTTGTCCCAAGCTACAGCATGCTCTACCCTGGCCCCAGGGCAGGTAATAATTAAACTGCTACCAAGAGTCTGCTTGTGGAATTGTATGGGAATATTAGGAACCCAGGGTTTTTCTCCAAGCTTTGAGATGATATTTGAGATGGACGCTTCCCCTTCCTTTGAAGAGGCCTTCCCTCTACAGGGTATCATGCAACTGCGGATGACAACCTCAGGCTTCCTCAGCTTTACACCACTCCAAAACCATTTTGGGACTGAGCCTGAGCCACAGGATGCCACATCAGCTGTGGTAGTATGGTACCGCCTGAACAGGTAGGGGCTTTTCACATAGCAAAGACCAATTCTCCGTTGCTCACCCCTGACACCACAGCGGTTGCACTTGGTCCATTCCCAGAAGACGGTGAAGATCTTGAAATGCTTTTCCTCATCATCTTCCCATGAATGTTGATCCTTATCTACAAAGGCAACTACTATGCCCTTAGAAGCCTGTACATCTACATCATAGCCATAGAAGAAATCACCTCTTTTTGTGCCACAGATATAGTGCCCCGAATCTTCCACCTGCACCCGGAAGACAATGAGGCTGAACATCCTAATGCTGAAGCGCCAGATTATGTCACTGCCCACCTTGATGTGACTAGAGTCCACTACCAAAGTCCCATCAAAGTCCGTCAGGACCTTAGTTTGCTGACTGCCCATATTTTTCTGAAAGTACCAAACTACAGAGGTGATCTCCTCTGGTTTGCAATTGCAAGGCAACTCAAAGCTCATATCAGCCAGGTAAGCAACATTCTCAAACATTAAGAAGGCTGGGCAAGGGGTCCTCTTGAACACATCTTCCTTCTCCACTATAGCAAAACCATGGAGAACATTGGCAGTACCAAGGACAAGTAGAATTCCAGTCAATCCGGTTGAAGCCATTGATGGCTAGGTAATATATTTTGTGTTATAGCTTCCTTGTTCTATATGACTGGTTGATTACAAGTTCTGGAGTTCAACTCTGATGCTTGGTTACTGAAGGATGCTTTAATTATTCAAGCCAATCAGAAATGCTTCTTTTCACAACTGCTGGAGAGAAATTCTTATCACACTTTTCATAGTTCTTTCTAGCATCATATTAAACAATGTGTACCTGTGCACACAGTATCTGTGTCAAAAGGACAAAGAATTTAGAACTATTTCCATTTTCTCTTCCATAAGTTCTAGAATGTAAACTCAGCTCTCAAATGGATAGTATAAACAAATGGCTCCTAGGCCATTTTGGATGTTTGTATACAGAAAGTTGCCCTTTAGAAAGTTGCCCATTGGTCTATCTAGATCAGTAGACAGGTAGCATTTCTCCAGAGTCTCAGAATAGTCTTTCCCAGCCCTGCTATCTAAAATCCTTTTAACTGGATATAACAGAGATTAAATGAGGGACTTTATAGGGCAAAGCATGTGCCACATCACAAAAGTACTGGCCCTCCTGACTTATGTAAAAATTGTCATAATATCAGACATTAAATTCACATCTAGGCAAGCACTAAGAGGAAATTGATATGTTTTTTCAGTGGTATATTACTCCAAAAGACATAGAAAAAAATTGTTTAAAAGTATAATGGAAAATGTTGGAAATGTAACAGGGTGGATAGGACTTTCTACCATATGTGGTGGACTTCTGAAACAATTAAAAGATTCTGGAAGTTGATACATGTGGAAATACACAAAACCTTTACAACTAGGTTTCCTATGAGTGCTAAGAATATGCTCTTGAACATAATGCCAGAGACTTTTTCAAAGAATATTTAAATACATGACAACTGCAGCAAGAATTATAATTGTTTCTAAATGGAAAACACCAATGGCAAAATTAACTGATTATGTAAACAGAAGACCAATTGAAGAATTTAATGACAAATGGAAATTCTATTATACCCAGTATATTTAATATGATGTAAAGTTGATGGTTTATAATTGATTTGAAGTGATTGGAACATGTGTTGGCATATAGAACATTAATTCCCTTTTTTCTGAACTTCCATAGAGTATTGAATGACAAAAAGGTCAATTTTGGTGTCTTTAAAATTTGCAGCCTTGAATGTATTGTTTACATTTGTTCAAAATCCCTTGGCAATTTCTTTTACATTTACACACACACCCTTCTTTTTCATATTCTATTTATGTTAAGAAAACAATGATAATTTAAAAAAATAGCCACAATATTTAATGCTGACATGTATTAGTCCTTCACCTTCAGAAGTGAATAGGGATACCAGGGTTGATGCACTGAAAGTACAGATATGTCCCCCACTGCGCTTGTCCTTACTAATTTCCTGTGGCAGTAAATATAGTTATCTACTGGGTTCCTAATCTGTATCTGTAATATGTTTATGCAGTGCTTTTTTTGTAAAAAAAAAAAAAAAAAGGTGCCGGAACTCAAGTCCTTCTGCCGAGCAGCAGCATCCCAAGCAGCTATCTCTCACTATCAGATAGCAGACAGCAGATGCAACAGCAGCCTGCGGGCACTATGTTGTTTGCTGCTGATCTGCTATTCCAAAATCACTTCGTAAAATCCATTGAAAAAAAGGTGCCGGAACGCCTTCCAGTGTGTTCTATGACAAAAAAAAGCCCTGTGTTTATGTAATATATGCTTATTATGTTACATTTTATTGCCTGTAACTGCCAAAATGAAACAGAGAAAACTTCTGTCACTTTGTCTGGAGATATATTTTTTTGAACAGGACAACTTTGCCTTTTACAAGTCACCACATAAAAATGTGGTAACTTCAAAACAGCAAGGCTGATGAGAACACTGTGACTAAACAAATGCTTGGAAGAAGGTAGTTTTTGAAAATGGGGAAATGAAATCAGTTGGGAACCAGAGCTGTCTACAGGAAGCTGGGATTAAGAGAAGAAAGGTCAACGAAGATAGATATGCTAAGAAAGGGCACCCAAAAATAAATTGATTGGGAACTGGTTTTTGTGATTCACACTTCCAGGAGAAGGTGAGAGCCAGTGTTGTGTAGTGGTTAAGAGCATGCGAATGGGAATCAGGCAATGTGGCTTTTAGTCTCCACTCAGCCATGGAGCCAACTGGGTGACATTAGGCTAGGCACAGACTTTCAACCCAACCTCACTGAGCTGTTGTTGTGGGAATAAGATTGAGAGCAGGAGGAAGAGAATGATGTAGCCACTCTGAGTTCTTTAAACAAGAAAAAATGGGATTAAAATCTAACTTTTAAAAAAGTTGAGTCTTTCCTTTAAAAAGTGGGATATAAATCTAATTTTTTAAAAAGTTGTCTATTCTACTTTGCTCATCTACTGTATGAGGCCTGCTCCTTGTTCTTCCTACATTGTGGACCTTGTGAAGTCCAAACAGTACTGGAAATATATGGATGCATGTCTAATTTGATGATGGATGTTTTTAAAAAATATTCTTGCCAGAATGTTTCATTGCTTTGTTGGGAGTGGCTATATTCCTTGATCCTTTCCATTGAAACCAGGTTCTTTGTAATCTGCATTAATAATTTGCTTTCTATTCCTTTGATTTAAAACTTAAAATGTTTACAATATTGCCAAGCTAACATTAGCCTAGATGCACAACACTATTTCTGATTTTTATACATTTTCTCCAGACTTTATCTGAAAACGCCTTCACTTTCTTCCCTCTGACCTAGAAACTTTCCCCTTTAATCCCAGGTCAGAAGGGCTGGTAGGCATTATCCATTATTCAGGGAAAATGGTATGTATATGCTCAAAAGCACAATCACAATACTATTTTGGCTGAAGCTTGCCATGGCATACATGTTCTGAGGCTAAGCCTTGCTGAATCCAATACCACACATGCAAAGCAATTTTCTATTGTTATTATAATGATTGCTTGCAGTGGTTCAATATGTTATTTTTTATTCTATGTTATAGTTGTTCATCTTGATTTTGTTGGTATTCTTATATAGGTTTTTGGTTACCTATTATATTGTTTTAATGTTTGGTTATTTGTGAACCATTCCGAGAGCACTGTGTTGAGGAACAGTATATAAAAAATAATAATAATACTAAACAAATATGAGATAAGCCACAACAGAAACTGTCATTTATTGACAATGGACTGTCTGGTTAAAGAAAGTCTGTGTAAAAACCAAGTAACTGGTGCAGAGCAGACAAAAGGCAAATAGTAAGGATATCTGATCCACTGAATATCCATTCTGTGTTAGTTCTACGGATATTAATAGATCTACAAGGGCACACACAAACTCTTGCACATCTTTCATTCATCTGAAAGGGGAAAGTCCAATAGCCCTTTCTGTAAGATTTCCCTAAATGGTGTGGCTGGTGATACGAATTCAAGACTCATTCAGGAGACTTGGTAAAGATGCATTAATTTCTTCAGCCTTCTTTCAACAGGTCCATTTGCTTGGTCATCCATCTGAGTAATAGCTGTACCTGCTGCATCTGAGGCATATGAAAGATCAGAAGGATTATTGGGGCTAGTCCCCATTCTTCGTAATTTATCAAACAACTGCCTACACACTTCCTTCTCCTGTTTACCCAGGAGTTCCACATTCAGCCCAAAGCGTTTAGTCCTGGAAAAGCTCTCCAGGATCTCCAAGATCAAGTCCTGGTCTTTGTTGCAGGCATTTTCAGCGAGCACAGCTAAGAATTCACCCAGGAGACCAAAGGCAAGATCTGTTTGGAAGAGCTGGCACAGAGTCTGAGATCCAAGGTGCATAAGGAACTGATAGCGCTCTTGGCTGTTTTTCATGCATCTCCGCCAATCTCTGTAGAATTCCGAAGAGGTCTTAGGCAACAGGTCCAAATCCTGAGGGAAAAGAACAATATCATGGCTCCCAACTTATGTGGATCTTCAACCACACTCCAACCCCATGGATGAGGAGTCAGGCTTCATCCTGGAAAAGTTTGTTTAGGGTAAATATTTGTTATGTGGCAGTTATGCCACCCCACCATGAAAACTATCAGTTTTGTAAGCAGTGTTTGCAGCATTTAATGCTGAATTCTCCAAATCCTACCACCCAAATTCTTCCTCCAGTTCTCTAGTGTCCATGTTTACATTCAATTAAATATAAATTAAAATATTAAGAAAATATGAATAAACTATGGGTAATAGGCATATTATTAAGAGATAGATATAAAGATCCAGGATAGAAAGGAAGTGAATGAGAGATACTGTTATATATAGGATAGTTGCTCAGCCTCTCTGAATGCTAAAAACTTTTGCAGTTACTGCATGCTTTCAAATATAGGTCCCCAAGCAAACAATAAGCCCCAGAAATATACTTTAAAAGGAAAAAAATATTCCCATGATACTACACATTCTGTCAGAATTTTTCTAAATTCTGAATGTAGCAAGGCTTTCCATCCCAATCCTTTATCCTGGGACAAAATTTGCCATAATAAAATAATCACTGATTTTTTAATGAAACATTTGGACAAACCAAAGTTCTACTCAAGACCAAGGATTTCAAAGCTCCTAGAAAGAAGCATACTCACTGGAGACAGCTGCACCTCAGTCTCTAGTTTGCAGTCTGCTTTCGTGGTGCAGGTGTTCCACGACACATTTCTCTTCTCCCTCACCTTGTCCCTTTTCTCTAGAGGCCTCAAGTGTGATGCTAAAACAATATCTCTGTGAGCAACCGAGAAGGGAGCATTATTGAAATTTCAGCAGCAGCTTGATATAGTATAAAAGTCTGTGTCTGCTAAAATGCCTTCTTTTATATAATTGTTACCAGTACAGAACGCTTGCCTGCTATCATATTTACCTGGTGTGACTGCTGCCCCCCTGTAAAGGCCCTTTGACTAAGGAACAGGAAAGTGTTGATAAATTGTAAGTGGCCAGAAACCAGCATCCTTCCACCTCTAGCTTATTGTGCATCCTTTGCAACAAGTGGAAAGCAGGATATACATTAAGAACACCTTTGAATAGGCAATATAGGAACTGTTTGCTGATATTCCTATTGGTAAAAGGCCTTGGTAAATTATGGTCCCTACTGTATCATTTTTAGGGCACGTATTTTTTAAACACTGCTAGTACCTCCTTCCGTTTAGACACCTAGAAGTTAAATCTTGATGTGGGGGAAGCTGCATTTTATTGCTGGTGCACATATAACTAGTGGTTACACACGAACATTTAATGTTCTACAGTGCATAACTTATCATTTAACATGCTATACTAGGGGTGCTCCAGACAAGGGTTTTTATTGTGAAATAAATGTGTCTTATTCCCAGATTTTTGTGGTATATTCTGGTGACGTCTTCCATTTGTAATATTCCAAAGATTCCACCACTTCTTCATTCTCTATGCACCCTCCCCCAAATACACACAAAGTTGAGGAAAAGAGGGAATAAGTGTACAATATAGTTTGATTAGTGATGGCAGGAGCCATTCATTTGTGCCCCCCCCACACACAAAGTTAATTTTGAGCAACAGATATACTGACATTATAGCATAGCTACCCATTTCCGCTTCTAAATAATTGTAAAACAGGCTATTACATAAACAGCCTTCAACTATTCATTTTAATGGGGGAAAGGTGGCCCAGGCAGTGATCCTTGGTATGAGAACAGGGGTATTACAAGATCATGCTGTTTGCATCTGGAAGTGTTTGATGGTTTGTCACATAGATCAGGCTGTATCTGTATCATATTAACAAAAGATCCAATGGGAAGGGCCATAACTCAGGAGTAGAGCACATGCTTTGCATGCAGAAGAACCAAGTTTCAATCCTTGACACCCCCAGACGAGGCTGGGAAAGACCCCTATATGAAACAGTGGTAAACCACTACCCTACTGAGTTAGACAAACAGATGTTCTAGTTAAGTATAAGACAACTTCCTATGTTCCTATGAAATCAAGAAACCTGAACTCTTCATAGGATGCTACTTTCTGGTGCACTGCTCGAAACTTGGCCTCATTTTCTCTCTGATACTTCTCATCAGTGGCAATAGCTTCTTCCAACTCTTTCTCCAATGCATGGAAATCTATTATGCTGTCCATTTAGGGAACCTAAAAGCAAAATAGATTACCAATAAATTATTCAAATAATGACTCTTATTCCAAAGAAAGGGATAAACTCTGAAACTCACAGGGTCAAAAGCATTAATCTGAGCAGTGGAAAAGAAAACCCATGTGTAAATCAGTCAAATTATACTAGTGTTTATTCAACCACGCTATTGTATATGCTTTCACAAAAGGTCAGAAATTCTAGGAATGAAAATGTACTCTTTTGGGGAGAGATCGCTGATGAGTAAATACATTTATAAATTTGCTTAATTACAGCTATAGATAGAGAACAGTAAAAGCCAATCAGTGCTGCAAATCAGTTCAACTAGCACCAGATTCTCACAGGAATTCCTTCTGAGGTACAGCATCTTGTGCTAATTTACAACTCTAAGTTCTTTTTCATTCAAACTGCAACTGGCTCTGTTTCTCGGTCATTGCCCCCACTGGCTAGCTCTAAGGGATATCATATTCCCAAGTTCAGATGAGCACAAGTGCAACTTGCTCAACAATGACAGCAAATGCCTACCCTCACTCCACAATACTCCATTCTATTCCCACTTCTTTAAGTTTCAATTTACACCCTCAATAGTCAGTACAAAACTACTTTTAGGGTCCTGTCCTTAGGTCCTTTTTTCCCTTAGGAACCTCTGCAAACCTCTGTCGGGGTTCTCTCAAATCATCCTGTTGTGCATGGATGATGTGCTTTTAGTCACACCCCAAACGTTGAAAATCGAGGGAATGACTGTATTCCACAGGCTAAAAACACATTTCCAGTTATCAAGAGACATTTACACTATTTTAAATTCGGGTTGAGGGGAGGGAGGGAACGGATTGCATTGGGGACTGGATATTTATTAGATTTTTAGCCGCCCCGTCAGCCATACGGCTCCCTGGGCGGGTTACAGACAATACAATTATATAGAAGTCCTAGCCTGCCCTCTCCAGTCTCCTCTGCTCCTCCCTCTACCCCATTTTTCAAGCTGGACACGGTGTTTCCATGGGGGCTGAGGAGGATGGGGGGATTGGAGCACAGAATTCCCAGCTATGTTACAACCCGGGGAAGCTGAAGTATCCTATGCTTCCCGCTGAAAATGTCTACGGTTAATAGGATCGTTCTCTCTATTGCTATTTGAATTTGTCTTCTTCTTCCTTCCTATCCCCTTTCCTATTTGCACCATGTCAATTAAATTGTCATATAACTGGAGCAAACTAACGACGCCAGGGTCAGAAAGTTCAAGGCTCTATATATTTTGTAACTCCGCATACAACATAAACCGCAAAATTCCCTCTCGTCTCACCCCAAAGACACCAAGCAGAACACACAAAATAAGAAACTCTCGCGCCTATCTCGGACGCTATGGAAACCTCGAGCAAAGCCCGCAGATCTCCATAGCAACAAGGCTCCGGCTTGATTTCCATTACAACCAGAATACGCCAAAATGCGATGGACCCTATGCCATCAGAGCTGGCCACACTGATCGCCTGATCACAGCGCCAACTTCATGCTAGTTTTATTGCTTGCCCACTCACATCAGTGAGAATCGGGATCACATTTTTATATATTTCCCAAGCACCCGAAACAGAAGACGAGAAAAGGCGGTAGATCAATCAGGCAATAGAGAGGGCAGCCTCCTCCGGAGGAAGCGGGAGGGCCCTTTACGCGAGTGTCGCGCGACGGGAAGGGCTACGGCGCCAGTAGCGCACGTTAACTTAACGAGGCTTCGTCTTTGTTCAGAGGCGAACGTTGTAGGTAGGGCAAGCATTATATATGTGTGTCTTTTTGTGTGTCTGCACGTGTATTTTTTCTGCAATTGTAAGGACTTGATTAGTTAGAAACCAACAACAACCAAATGACAAATTAATCTGCAAGCAATTCTGAGCACACTTACTAGGATTAAGCCGTATTGAATGGAAAGGGAACTAAAGCAAACTTCGAGCACCGTCTTAACAGATACTGCTATAGTTGTAGAGGGGAGCTATCTATACAACTAGCCCCAGGGAACAAATTTGGCCCTCCTGGGGTTCCCAGATGGCCTCACATCGTCTTTCCTGATCACCGATCATTCTGTAGCTTCTAGGCCTCCCCACTCCCATTCTTAAAGTTGAAATGCTTAGTTGCTGGCAGTAAGAACTTTTCAGTTTTCATACTCCACTATTTTTGCCCCCATTTCTTTACCTACATCCCCCACCCCCTGGTTAAGCATTCCCTAAGAACGTCTCTGAAATGGGATTTGTCCCATGGGTCATTAGCCTGGCTAAGGGGTGAAAGGAGATGAGAGAACTAAACTACATGCCCCCCCTTTTGTATAGTTACAGGCGGAGATACTGAAGTGCTTCTAAGCCCCATTATGTTAATATGCATAACAGTTTAATCTTATATATGTCTGCTTAGAAGGACCTTACTAAATTTAATGGGACTTTGTTGCAGGTAAAAGTTTAATAGGCCTGCATCTTAAAAGAACATACATTTGTAAGTAGTTAAGAAATTGTGTTTTTAAAAATAGGAGTTGTGGCATAACTAAAAAAGCAAGTTTATGACTATGGAAGGAAAACTAATTAGAACATGCCTAGCAAATGCATACTGATGTATTGCTTCCAAAAATCAAAATAATTATTTGTGGCTAGTGAGCTCTCTCTTTATGGGAATTGCATCAGATAAAGCATGAGAAAGAAATGAGAAAAAAAAATGGGAGTAAGGGTTTTCTGTTTAGAGATGGTGGTTGTGTTGTGCAGTAATCCTATAAAATACAGCAAAACAAAGTTATGAAGTATACTATCTCATATATCTTTCTGCAGCCCTCTGAACTCAAGAGTATTATAGGGATCAAATAGAAGATGGGAGTGCAGAGGCTAAGATTGTCTCTGTGCCTCCTTCAGCCTCAAAACATTTAAGCAACTGATTTCAGCCATCTGGGGAGAAGAGGCTGAGGTACCACCAGAATCCTTTGGATGATGGTAGTGCTTCACTCCTCTCTCTGCCACTGGAACAGCTAGCCTTGCCTGTACAGCCTTCCACAGGCTCAAAAGATGCACTTTTATTTTTGCAGGCCAGCCAGCATGGAAAGAACTGTTGGCTATGAGGAAGCTCCAACCCATGTTGGGGGGCTATAAGAGTGCAGCTGCATTGAGTATTGTGAAGTACACAGCATACTTTTCACCTGTTTTTTATTTATCTGTTTGTTTTGCAAATGGAAAGTTGTAGAGCGGTTATTAGGTAAACCAGAAGACAGGAAAGTGGATAGATTTGTGGTTCTGAGATGGAAACAAGAGAAGTATACCAGTTGAGGAATTAGAAATGGAGAACAAGTACTACTATGGAGGTTGCTATCACTGATGTCTTAACATCTGAGTTCACAATAAAAATAGACAAAACCATCATCTAAAATGCAATCATAGAATTCTCACAATCGAATACAAGTAAGACTAGATAAGTTGTAGGCTACAGGATTTGCGAAATATAGAATTTATTTTGTCAGGATTACATATTGGCACTGTGGTGCTATTTTCTTTCTCCTCAAGGCCCAGCAAAATGGATGCAGACCTGTATGATGAGTTTGGGAATTACATTGGCCCAGAGCTTGATTCTGATGATGATGATGATGAAATAGGTCGGGATACAAAGGATCTTGATGAGGTATCGAGATTATGCTTTTGTTGATTGATCGATTGATATATAAATGATTGCATTGTTCCACCTCAAAAGTTCTTATTTGAGGTTCTGAGAAGTTATTGAGTTATTATTAACTCAAGAGCAGCCATGTTACATTGCTGCTGCAAAACCAAAGCTGGCTATGTTTACGCAATACAGCAACAATTCTGCACTGTTTCCATTGTGCGCAGATTGTTGTCTGAACAGGCAATCATGCAGTTACCCAGGCAGTGCAATTTTCATGCTTCCCACTCCTTTCTTATCACACATCCTGGCAGCCCCTGCAGTTGAAATTCCCATCTTTTCCCTATTCTTGCCTATGGACCATCGCAGCCACCTCCTTATTAGTGCAGTGCAGTCCTGCAGGTTCCCTCTTCCCCTTCCCAAGTGTATCTGTGTGTCTGCAGTGCTTCCTAACCTCTCTAACACCCACACTTTTTTATTAAATGAAAACAAGCAGTTTCACTGTGATTCCACCCTCTGTGTATTTTTGTGCCTTCTCCCTGCTTGCAAAAGTAAATGCAGGGTGAGAGGGCAACACATTGCTGGGTCAATGCAGATGAAGCGAGTAGTGGAACATCTGTTGCAAGGGAGCTGATGGCAATAAACTGATGGTTAGAAGTGCCCACCCCTGCTGCTATTCTTGGCAGGGGATTCTGTGGTATTTCCATACCAACAATGGTAAAATGGCAATCCTGGGTCCAGGCAATGAGAGAATTAATGGTGAAGTGTGAAAATCTTAAAGGATAGTTGATTCATTCCATTGTTTCAGAAAACTAATCATACCACACAGGGATTCTGGAGCCAAGTCTGCACAGTGCAACATACCCACAACAATAAGATTTTACCATGGTTTCTTGCATTGTGCACACCTGCCCAATGTCTTGAGAACGCTAAGCACTGGTTAATACCTTGTATGAAGTTTTTTGAGCTTGGTATTGTAGTTGTCAGTTGACGAACATGCCTGTGTGAACCAATTCCAAATTCTGTAATTGAGATTGTTCTGGGCTGAAGTTACTAGAAGAGCTCGTGGAAACTTTTCATTCTGTTTTCAGCTTGATGACGATGATGATGATGAGATGGGAGACCATGATGAAGACCATCCTGGGATGGATGTGGTACTGCATGAGGATAAAAAATATTATCCCACTGCTGAGGAAGTCTATGGTCCAGAGGTAGAGACTATAGTACAGGAGGAAGACACGCAGCCACTGACAGGTGAGAAATGTGTGGGGCAGAACATCAGTTTTAAAATAATTTATAGGCATGGTGACAGAGCAGCCAAAGGACCTGTGGAAAGGATAAGTTCCCATCTAAGTGGTAAATTAGATTTTTTCTGACCTACAAGATTGCCAAAATACTTAACCAGGAAAATTTCAAAATTCTAGGAGACAGTGTCCATGACCTCAGCTCCTTCCAGGGATAGCAATAAAAAATTATTATTTATTTATTATTTATTTATTAAAACATTTTTATGCCACCCCATTCGCCGAAGCCTCGGGGTGGCTTACAACAATAAATTAGATCCATTAGATAAATAAAAATTAAAATATATACATTAGAATAAAAAAAATTTTTTTTGCTGGGCACCTGGATAACTTTCAGACTGTTTTATTAATTGAATTTCTCTACATATTTCTCAACATTTAGAGTCCTGCATGTGGCAGCCTGTCATCCTAAATCATTGGCCATGCTGATTGGATATGATGGGAGTTATAATATAAAACAATTAGACAAGGAGCATAGAATATTCATTTATATGGAAGCTTCTTTATAATAATAATAATAATAGTAATAGTAATAATAATAAAACTGCCTATGCATATAAAACTAGCATGCTGGGGAGAGAGGTTTTAGCATAGCCTTTTCCAGGACATGCTAGGTGTGTGTACAAGGTTTTGCATTAATTAATTTTTATACCATCCAATAGCCCAAGACACTCTGGGCAGTTAAAAAGTTAAAAAGATATAAAGAAAGAATGCCAAACACAATAAAACAATAAGACACTAAATCAATAAAACAATAGCAGTTGCATTCAGATCAGTACAGAGGTATAGCAGAAGTACAAAAACAAAAACGAAGATCAATTGTTAATTATTAAAATAATGGGCAAATAAGAAATGTGTATCTTATTTGGTTTGTTGGGGGTTTTGCATGGAGCAGCAATTATATCTGCTTCCAGTCTGTCATGGTAATGCCTAAACATACTTTGGCTGCCTCAGTGAGAACTAGGCCATCTGACTATGTTGCCAGCATCTGGTGACTGAGAGCAGCTTTCCAGACTCTTTCTCAAGTGGAAGGATTATTTGCTTCAAGGCACAATCCCAGAAATGGAACCTAGGACCTGCAGCATGGAAAGCGTTCTCCTTGCTTCCACTTCTTTGACCACAGTGTAGAGTGTGGCTCCCTGCTTTAATCTTGTCATTCTTGTGTTTCATTTCAGAACCTATTATTAAGCCAGTAAAGACAAAGAAATTCTCTCTTATGGAGCAAACACTGCCAGTCACCGTGTATGAGATGGAGTGAGTACAGCATGCAGCATTTGCCCTCTGTCTTCTCATCTCCTGCCATTCTGAAGTTCCTTGTGTTTCTTTCAGTGCTCATGACTGAAATTATTACATTTACAGACAGCATTTAGGGAATATTATCTTGTCCTATTATTTAGCCTTAGGCCATCTATTGCCTTCCCTTGATGCTTTTGTTAATTATATTATACATTACTTCTCACT